TGCTGAAGCTCACAAAACACCGGAAGGTTAAAAGACTGACCAACTTACCAGTCACTTTTATTAACTTAAATGTATTCTGATATTTTTAAAGGATGATGGTGATGTCTGCTATACTAAATACTATTACTATGCTTTATATACCATCTCAAACATGTTCCCACAGCAGTGTAATTTTATTCTTTAGATAAGAAGAAATGTTTTACAGCAAAGCTGTTTTACTGTATTTAAACAGCACTTTCATGACACTCCACTAGTCAGAAAGACTTCCCCAAATCTAATGCAAGCTAAAGCAAATACATTACCACAAAACACATTATTAAAAAACAGAAGGAAATGACATTAGGGCAACCTAAAGAACCCAACTCTGGAACCAATGACACCTGACAACTACTGCCCAATCTCAAATACCCCTTTTTATGGAAGGTAGGTAGAAGGTTGTAAATGGAGCAACTGCAGACACTCTTGGATTATCTGAATTATCTGCAGACACTGATTATCTAGGCCCTTCTAGAATGAGTTTCAATTTGCTTATGGTACTGAATCAACCTTGGTTGTCCTGATGGATGACCTTTATCAGGAAAGGGATAGAAGGAGTATAAGCCTACTAATCCTGGTCACTTTTTCATCAGTTTTTGATAGAACCAGCTGCAGTATTCTGGGTTAACTGTGTAGGCTAGGCTTTGGAGGCTCCGTTCTTACCTATGATGTTAATTTCAAAGAATAACATTTGGTAACTATTTCTCAACCCCTTGTCCTGTTGAACTGTGGGGCTCCATAGAGAACCGTCTTGTCTCCAACATTGTTTAATATCTGTATAAATCCACTGGAAACTGTCATTAGGGGATTCGGAGCCAAAAGTCACTAGTATGTGATGACATACAGCTCTTTCTCTATTTGGCATAGGGATCAGATGAGGCTGTGCAAGTCCTAGAACAGTGCCTAGACAAAGTGATGGGCTGGGTGAGGGTAAGTAAACTGAAGCTGAATCCTGGCAGGACAGAAGTTCTGTGGTTAAGCAGTTACCAAATCTGAGGAGCTCTTTACCTGTTCTGGATGGGGTCGTAAACACTTCTTTTGAACGATCACGTTTTAGTCTTGGGCAACACCTAGATCTTACGATTGTTGTTAGAGGCCCACATAATCATGGTGGTTCAGAGTCTCCTTTACTACTTCAGCTGGTTCACTAGTTGCAGCTTCTCCTAGGCAGGGACAGTTTAGTCACAGCGATACAGGCTCTAAAAACTCAAGATCAGATTACTGCAATGCATTTTGTGGGACTGTCCTGAAGGCTAGTTCAGAAGCTGGAGATAGCTCAGAATTTAGCAGCTTGGCTGTCATCAGGAGCTGCCCTCTTCCATATGCAGTTCCTTTGCTGAGGAAATTGGAGTGGCTGCTTATTCACTTACAGGGCCAGGCTTAAGCTTTGGTACTAATGCATAAAGCCACCAACAATTTGGGACTATTTGAGAGAATGCCTTCACTCTTATCAACCTGCCTAGTTACTGAGCTCATCATCTTTGTGGTGCTACCTGGAACGCACTGGAGAAAAGTCCTCAGAATCATGACTCACTTTCAGTGGAATGTCCTGTCCCTGGAGGTCAGACAGGCATCAACACTGTATTGCTTTCAATGCCTTTTGAAAACATCTTTATTTCAAAAATAAATGACACATTCAAGAAAACATTAATTTAAAGAAGGCTTCTTTGATTGACCAGTCATGGTTTTGATGCTCTTTTTATCTTTTATTGTTTACCACTCCATAATTTGTTTGGATGTGGAACAACATATAAATGTTGTAAATAAATAAACTTAAAATACTGTTCCTCAAAATGGGGAAATGATGTCTGTAACTGGAAATAAAAATGTAATGTTAATAATTTTTTACCTGAAAATACTTTGTGCAGGTAACAACCACCATACTTACTGGACCCTGAGACAATTAGTTACAGCTTGTGCTAGGTTACAGTATTTATGGACACTACATTCTCTTCACCAGGAAAGGGCAGTGGGATATTAAAATAATGTTGATCTCAAGTGTGCTACGAAAACTGGAGGATAATTTTACAAAGAATATAAAGTTATTTCTTCAATGACTATTAAAAGATATAAAAACCAGCGGAAACATGTTGGAATAGGTGAAAAAGTCCAGAAGCAGATGTGTATAATTCGAAAATAGCCTGTGATAATCAGCTACCTTATTTTAAAAAATTTGTAGAAAATGGGGGTCAAGATGGAGCATGTAACATTTAAAACATGCATGTTGAAAATAATTCTTGTCAGTTAATATCCCTCAATAATTTTTCCAGATTTACACAAAAAATCAAACAAAAGTGGTGTGTGTTTGGAGTCCTCTCAAAACTGATAAATTTCAGTCACAGATCTTCCTATCTATTTCCTCTAATTCCATGTAATTTCCATGATAACCTTCAAATACCAGCTGCCTTAAAAAATCGCCAGGGTTGAATTGAGAGGTCTGGAAGTTTTGATTTGAATCAGGAAAAGAGACAAAGTCTGAATTGTAGTTGGATTGCATGAAGACTTTACAATGAAGTTGTGAACCAGTTTCTTTTTGCTTTAGGGGAACTGAGGCAGCTTTAAAATGTAGCACTTTATGTCTGGGTATTTGACTTCTCTCTACCTCATCCATTCCACATGTGCACACTTTGCACATGTTGTATGGTTAAGCATCAGTATCACAGGGTTCCAGTACTGTTCACAAAGAAGCTAAATTTATAGTAGTAGCTAGCCCTAAATATTTCTATTGTTTGAAGAAGTGTGGAACCACAAAACTATATTGCTGCAGTTGAGAGGCTAAAATCCTTTGTATGTATTAAATGCTTATCTCTAACAAAGGCTGTGCAAAAGTAAGGGTGGTTGGTGGAAAGCAACTAGACCATTCTCTCCTTGCCACCACTTCTCCACACCACCTGCATTCAACAAGACTTGAAAGCTGTAGATGAAAAGAAGCTGTTATAAGTGAGTGTGGATAACCTAGGTTCCATAAGGGACTGGAACAGTGGTACAGTTTACTAAAAATGGAGAGCATATGTCTGCTCCATTGTACTCAAAGCCTTGGATGAATTTTGTCCACCGTGCTATAAATAGGGTCCTTTCTGTGGCAATGGGCACAGATGTATTTCAGCCACTTTTACAAAAACTAGCATTTCCATTAAATATGTCTTGTAGAAACTAAATGGCACCCAAGATATTTGTTCTTTTATCTACTGGCAGTTTTTTTTCCTGGAGATCTTCAAGTTTTCTTTATAATCCCAAAACCATTCTAGCCCTGAACCCCAATTAAGAGCCATTTCATAGCAACAAGCACTGTAAAGCATGCACACTGCAGGGAATTATATCCAGTCCTGTCTTCATGTTGAGAGTGCTTGTCTGATAGTTGGGCAAGTTCAGACACTTGCTTAAAGGATGATTATTACTATCATTTTAGCTCTTCACTTTGTAAATATTTGTCGCACTCTTACAATTCAGTGTAGGAAGCCGCTGGCAATGTAGCAATCTAGAAGCTTCTACCGGAGGATCCATACATGTCGTTTAAATGTTTTTGTGTTAACAGTTTCTCCAAGAGACACCTACTGAATTGCAAAAATGCAATTTGTATGCTAGGACATTTATGGCACACTGTGTTAGTTTGGCAAGTATTGCTTGGAGTGATGTATTTCATATTACTGCAAAATATTCATACAAACTAGTTAATGAAGGAGGCTGTGCATTAATGCAGAAGATACACATTACAGTTGAGACTAAAATTGAGCTATCAGTCTTGAAGATTTATTAATGATTAAGTCCTTCAGTGGCTATATTAGTGCTGGGTTTCCATCCCCATTATGTTTCAAGCAATGTATCAATTGGCCTTTGGCATATTTCTCTAACATATGGAGGGGTATAGTTTTAATTGTGTTTAGTTCATACATTTAAAATAACATGTCTAACCCATTAAATTTTATCAGCAACTCTCTGCTAACCTAAGTTGCTGTTTATAGCCCATGCTATCCACATTTTCTTAGGCTGCTGTTAGGAAACTGGGTCTACATAGTGGAACTGGTCTCTTGTGTCTATAGATAGCCAAATTCTGCAGGTGTTTTCTCATTGCATCATGTAACCATGTCCCCCCCTATTTTCACAGCTGTATTGGGTTGTAGTTTTTCTAATAACTGAGAGCTGTTAGGAACACTTTTTATTTCAAAAACTGAAGTTCCCCTCCTTAATATTGCTCATTCAGCCAAAGACATTACCTTCACTCAACTTACGCCAATGGGCTTTTGTTTTATTTTGGTATTGCATTTAAAACTATTATTTATTTATATTATCATTTCATTTCATTTCACTTCTGTGCTGCCCCATAACCTAAGGGCTGGTTAGAGGGAGAAAATCGGTAGTGTTTTGCTTAAATAAGTAACATCTGAATGGAGTCTCTTTCTGGTATATACATAAATAGGTAAACATGGAAGGGGTAGCTGGTGCTGAGATTGTATTCTATTTCCTCTTGAAGTTGCATCATAGTAACATTGATAGTGGTAGTTAAAGAAGGGGGTAGGTTCTAATTGTAACTTTTGAAAACTTACTATTCTTTTTTCTATCTGCTTTTTTCTATGAAATCAGAGAAAAATGAAATCTCCTTTTTCTATGAAATAATAGAAAAATGAATGCAAATCTATATGTGCCACATTTCTTCAGCATTTGTTGGATTCAGAATTGTGAGACAGCAGAATGTTTTAAAAAAAGTTGGCACTGAAAGTGTCTCCAAGTAATACTAGTTTCAGACTGCAGTACAGTAAACCATCATAAAAGTACCTGGGGCATTGATGCTTACCCAGGTGTTTCAGGTTCTTGCTGGAGAAAGTGGTAGTAGTAAAATAAACCACTCAGAGTCAGCCACTCATTTGACCTGGTGCAAAGTTCCTTTCCAAATTCATAGTAGATAAGGAAGGAGCAGGGAAATCATTATGTACAGTCATGCTTATGTTTGCTTTTCCTCCTTGCAGGTGGCAGTACATGTCCAAAGAGCTTCCTAACTCCACCTTGTTCAGCAAACAGCACAGCTAGGCTATACGAGTCAAACATCTGCAATGAAGTGGCTCAGGGAATAAATGGAAACGTGTCAGTTAAAAATTTCCCACAGCCAGCTTCAAATCCAAAGCCACAAGGTCAGTAGCACTTAAATTATGTGCCCGGCTCTGAATCTCAGGAGCCAGCAAGTCAATTTGCTTGATTCAGATATGTAGTATTTTGTTGCACAAATAAAACTATTTATTCACTTATACTAATGAATTGTACATACAATAGTAGATTTGTACATACCCTATATTGAAAACAGGATGAGATTGATACAGTCTTGGTCTTTGGGTTTTCAGCAGTGACCAGCTATAGGTTTTATTATTCTTAGCCTCTCTGTTTGTTGTATTGTAAAAATATTGTAACAAATTTAGCTTCCTAAAGGAACCTTGCTCTTCTGAGTTGGAGGATGATTCTAGAGGGAGATAACATGCTTTGGTGTGTATGAAGAGAATGAGGTTCTTAAGAAATGGGGGATACTGAGATATAAGCAGGAAAGTGTTCTTAGGGTTTTGTATGCTTTTGTTTCTCAACCAGTATAATTCACAGAGCTATTTACAAGTAAAGAATGTGACGTCATGGTAATGTTTACACACAGAAGAGTTCATCTTCTTATAATTTTATTTGCTTTTCTTTGCTGCTATTATGGTCTGTCAAATTTAGGTGGTTTTCAATTTATATGGCAAAATAAGAGCTATGTTTTCTTGAAGCAATACTACAAAGAGGGTCCATTCTTGTGGTCATGGTGGTTAACAAGCATAATTATTCTTGTTGCTGCAGCTTTTCCTCCTTTGCATTGTACCATGACAAGAGAGATAGAAAGCATGCCTGATGATAAGATCTTACATTCTGTCTTTAGACTTGTTTCCATTATTAGTCCTAGTTAGAGTAGACTTCTTGAAATGAATGGAACTTTAAGTAAGACTTACCTGGCATACAATCCCAAGTGACAACCTGCCCGAGCTGGAGGAGTTTTGATAGGCAGTCCTGCCCTTACCTTGTCAAGTAGAACAGAAAGTAGTCTTATGTGACATGAGATATATGCAAATTTAGTGTCTGGGAAGTAAATGGAAGGGAAATTTCTACCTGTTCTCATTTGATGCACCTTCATTTGTTGCTTTTGTCCCTTTTAGCACTGTTTTTCAATTGACAACTTGCATTTGAGTCCTGGCAACCGTGTGCAGATTATCCTATATGCAGTCTATGATAGCTGAAACAGGCAAAGGTATTAACTAGGTAACTACATATATTGGATAGCCATAAACATGCACTTGTGAAAGACCAACAACAACAGCAGCAGCAGCAACATTAGTAATGTGGGTAGTAATATGTAATGTTTTCTCAAGTTGTCTCTGACTGGTGACCCTATGAATGAATGCCCTGCAGAATGTCCTATCCTTGACAGCCTGCTCAGCCCTTGTAAACTCAAGGCTGTGGCTTTCTTTATGGAGTCATTGCATTTCATGTTTGGTCTAATATTGCAAACACATTTCTCCATTTTGAAGCACTAAAGGAGGAAAAAGCTGAGGAACGAATGGTGGACTTTTTAAAGTGCCGTTTTGGAATTGGTAGAAAGGCAGTGAACAACTGGTGTTTTGCTGTTCTTAAAAAGCTCTGTAGCTTGATTGTGACAACCCATGATATTATCACATTGCTGGGTGTAAATGACATAACAGCAAGAAGAATGTTAAAACAAGCCATGGGTTATCAGGGTGGCTTGTTGGTGAAAAATAAGCCAATCTACAAAAACCATACTAGGTTCAGATGACACAAGTGACTATTGGCTGGTTAGCTATGGTGGGTTGATGTGTCATGTGAACCAGCTCATAGGAGTTTATAAAATTATGAATGGTATAGAAGAAATGGTTAGAGTTTTCCCCACATGTCTCATTAGATCCTGGAATTACTTAACAAAATTGAGTTGTAAGTAAATTTGGGACAGACAAAAGGAAGTATTTCTTCACACAGTGTGTAACATGTTAATAAAATTCATTTCCACAACATGTACTAATAGCCACTGGCTTACATGACTTTAACCATGCAATGCACATTAAATGGTAGCTAAATTAGATAATAGCTAAATTGACATTTAACAATAGCTATGTGAGATTTTCTGGTTTAAAGGCAGCATTTCACCGTGTACCGGTTGATGAAGAATAGTGGAAGAGGAAATTGCCTTTATCCTCCATTTTAGGGCTTTCCGGAAGCTTCTGACTGACAATTCTGACCATTGGAAATAGTGTATTAGACTAGAAAGACCCTTAACCTGATTCATTAGGGCTGTTGTTTATGTTCTTATTCTCATCCTGATAAAGCAGCTCAGAATAGTATATTTAGCACATGAAAAACTGATTGCAAGACTTAGGTCTCCCTTCCTGAACCAATTCTCTTATAATCTAGATTGTTTTTGTTTAAAACTTCACTCTCTCGCTCTTGCTACTTATCTTCAAGATTATTTAGGCTTTGTGCTTTTCTTTTTCTGTTATTGGACAAAATTTGATAATTTAGGAAATGGGATTACACGCCTGAATTTTACTGTGTAGCTGCTTTGTAGTAAACGATATTTCTCTAAGCTAAAGAAAACTTTACAGTGATTTATTTGGTTATTCTGTATGGTTGAACATTCAAGAATCTGCCTTGGAGTAAAAAATATTCAAAGTCTGCCTTTCCTGCTCAAGATGCGTGCTGAGAACTAACAATGGACTCTGACCTGGTTTTGCACAGTACTTGATTTCTTTCTGAAAAGCAGCTTAAGTCTTGGGAAACTAATTGCACTATTATATCCTATTTTGTGCCCTCAGGATGGCTGAATAAATACCAGAAAAAGAATCAACATTTTATATTGTATTGCTGCCATTTAAAGCAACAAACTTCAAAAATTTTGACTGAAGAGAATTAGTTAATCCAATTAAGGTTCACTGATAGATAAGGAATTGTGGAGCAAGTTTCTTGGTATTCAAGGCAAGTTGTTACAGCATGGATTCTAAGAAAATGATCCAAAAGAAGCTCATAGAAGGAACTTGTCCCTTCCTTTCCTCTCCAGCTAAAAAGACAAAAAACAAACAAACCTGACCCCCCCCCCAAACAATGGGGAAGGGAGCTGTTATGTGAGAAGAGAGGAACTGCTCAAAATGTGAGGTAGTTTCCCTCACCATCCATGCCTTATCCATGCTCTTTTTTATCAAAGAGACTTTTTGAGTGGCCCAGTTGGCTACTGGGGCAACTCTCTTAAGTTAACATTTTTTGATCCAGTAACCTTGGATCCAGTCCTTTACTGTGTTTGCACTCCTGGAACACATGTGTATGGCTCACTGTGCTTTCGAAGATAGTGCCATAGACTGATCTTTAAAGGTTATGTGATCTGAACTCAAAGAGTTTGTCTAACTAAAATCCTTGAACAAGAGGTACTTTTATAATGCTTGTAAACAGAAACAAGGAAGAAATCTATGGTTTTATATTTTGCAGTACAGCGGCACTAACTGATTGAGAGAGAGAGAGAGAGCACTGTGTGTTTATATGTTTATAGGTTAATGTACAATACTGTATTTTAAAGATTTTTAATCTTTGTAGATATGGGAGCTTTGTTTACTGGGTGGTATAGAAATATAGTAGATGGAATGAAAATGAAATGTATATTTGTTAACCAGGCAAGAGTTGGTGAATTTTGGGGCATTTGTTTGGAGCACTTGGGCATTCCTGACACACAGCAGAATTCCTTCCCTGTAATAGGCTACCTGTTGTGTCCTTGTGTGAGTCACTGCTTTGGACTTGCAACCAAGAGGCATCTCCAGAACAGTAACATGCATACAGAAAGTGGACTCCACTGAGATCAAGTAGTTCTTCCTTTTACAATTAGTTTTGAGCTATATGTGCTGTCTGCTTCTTATCTCAGGAATCTGAGAAACTAGTCTGTCCAGACTGATAGTTCTCCTTTCTTTTCAACAACACTGCACTCTAGTACAGGCATTATAGCTGCCCATTTCTTGGCAAAGCAAAGGATCTCTAAGCCTTTATACATTTGACTCATTCAGTCCATTAGAGTTAACTCTCTAATTTCTTCATTTTTCTGAAAGGTTGCTTGCAGTATTCCTCATCCTGTTCCATATAATTTCTGTGATAATACTTTAACTGTGGCCATTAACCCTTTCTGGGCTCCTCTGTTGTCTTCTTTCCTGGCATGTTTCCATGCCCCTTTTCTCAGCCAGTCAGTCCTGATTTCTCATGCATCCCCACAGCAGTTTTAACATATCTCTGTTAGCTAGCAGTTCAATTTTGTGGCATTTATTTGACATTCATTGGCCTAGATCTGCCTTTCTGTTCTAAGGGGAAACACTGAGTAGGCAATGGATAGGATTGCTTAACATCAAGCAGGTGAGTGTTATAGTGTAATGCTTGCAGCAGCTAGCTGGATAGTAAAGCTCGTTTGGGAGCTGCTTACATAACAGCCTTGTCGTCTACAGCCCCCGTACCACCAGTCAATATTTGTCTGGCGTACACTGTTAAGTTGAGAGGAAGAGGTGGGGAATCGGCATAGGAATGGGAAGCAGGGATAGTATCAGTTTGTTTTCCTTGCTTAGTGATTTCACTACACTTACTAAATTTCTGCTTAAATGTGGACATGGCCAATCCAATGTGTATGCGCACACATACCCCCCCCCCACCAAAACATGGTTCTTAGCCTCTCTTTCAGTGATCCATTTAGAACAGCTGTGTGTGTGTGTGTTGGGGGGGGGTGCATTTCTCCTTTGTAGCTTTGCCAGGGAAGCTCTATCTCCAGTCAACTTCTGAGGGAAGCTAAGAATGTTTCTCTGCCTTAGGGAAGAGTTGATGCCTGCTGCAAAGGTGGCTGGCATGAGGAACATGAGACTTGAGTATTTCTGTTGCATCTGCTCTGCCTGGTCTTGTTGGCTATTTGCCCATATATGTTTACCCTCCTGCTGTTTCCTTTGATTCTTTCTGCCTGAGGGGTGTTTTTTTTAAATCAGACTGCCCTCCTTTCCTTTCTTCATACATCCCTATTACAAATTAGGATATTCTTAGCAATGAAGTCTTTTAAAGATGCATATTTCAGTGTGGGGACTGGATATAGCACTGATCTATGGGAGCTTGATTTACCAAGTTTGACTGTGATAAGGTTTACGATTCTCTTCCCACCATGCTTCTAATATATAGAGAGCATCTCTTTCAGTGAGAAAATAAGGAAAGGATTAAGTGATAAGAGATGGATGATGTATCTCTCGATGCAGTTGTGGAGGGTGGTGAACACAAGGCAGGTTTTGCTTGTGTGATCCCTTTGTCCATTTTATGCCTCTAAGAAGATACAGCACAATGGGGGATATGTGGACAGAGGACAAGTGATCTCTTTTTAAATCTCAGCAAAGTTCCCCCATCTGAGACCTGCATGGACATGAAGATCAGAAACAAGAATCTAAGAAATTCGGTGTCATTGGGAAGGGCTTAAACAATCCTACATTTAACTTTTTCAGCACTGATTTTTGAAATGTGTACAAATATGCAATAGTCAAGCATGTGTTCCTTTTTCTTTGCAGTGCCTCCAAAGCCATTGCACCTGCAGAATTCACAGTCATCCATTGCCCACCAAACTCCTAGGCCTAAAGCTTTATATACTACCAAGTCAAGAATGGAGGAAGTTACATCTACCTCTTCTAGTATATCAAAAGAAAAATCTAGTAAAGTTTCTGATCTCATCAGTCATTTTGAAGGAGGCAGGTAAACATGTTTCACATTCATTCAAAGACTAAAGATTAAAGGCAGACTAAGTGATAATGAATAAGAAATGTATGTGTCCCACTTTTACAGAGGAGTATAAATTAGCATTGCTGTGTTTGATCTAGTTAGATGCAAAATTGGGAAAATTATATCTTTTTAAGTGGACTGAGTCTGGTTGTCTGTGTAAAAGAACACAGGTTTCCAGACTTGGGGACCTAAAATGATTGAAATCTCGATCAATGTATTCAATATCATTATCTACTTCAGAGGTGGGCAACCTCTGGCCCCTATAGGTGTTGGCCTGTGCCTTCCAGCATTTCTCACCACTCCTTGTGCTGACTTGGGCTGATGGAAGTTGTAGGCCAAAACATCTGGAGGTTACAAATGTCCTATCTCTGGTCTATTGCATTCAGAAGAATGCAACTGGTATGCATACATGCAGCATTTTAAAAGTACAAAGACAAAAGCCCTGCTAAGCCTTGAAATCCTTCTGCAAATTTCCTTTCCACCTTATTTTACGCATGTAGTATTTCCATGTAGAAATTTTGCTGCCTGAGTCTAGGTTTTAGATAGAACACAAAACCATAGTTTGCTTAGCTAAAGCCCATTTCTTTAAATGCCTGCATTCAGATGTAACACAGTCATGTGCTGCATGCACACCTTTTCCTCATTCCTTCTCCATTATGCCTGAGAGAACAAGATTGGAAGCATTCATTTCAGGGGTTTTTTTTGTCCAGAGACAAGTTGTGGTTAATTTTAAGTATGTTTTCCTCCAAACTAGCCACTAACATCAAGCTGACCTTTCTGATCCTAATTTAGTTAGATAAACCATACTAAGTATCAACCATAGTTCCCAGTTTGGATGAGGTGACAAATTGCAGCTGCTTGAAAATGGAAGGGAAAATATATCATTCTGTCCAAACCAGGCTAATTTCTGAACCTGAGCTTGCCCACAAGCTGTAGTATGTTTGAGGCTGACAAACCAATGTGAGGGCATTATTTCAATCACAGCTTATTATGTTTGCACTTCTATAAAACTTAACATCCATTGACGAACTGCACTGGAGAAAAGACTGTTTTGTTTAATTTAAAGCATCTTTAACTCATCCTTCATCTTAGGATATCAGGACAGAATGCAGAAGGCATAAAAATGCCACAGTACAATACAATGAAACAAACAAAATCAGACCAAGTCAGATATGTTACAAACAGCACACAAACTATGTTCCGAGAAGATGGGAAACAAAAGTAGACAAATAACTCTAAACCATAGTTTCTGTTTTCATGTCTAAAAATTCAAATTATGTTCTCTTCTTGACAATGATTTGTACAATTTGTGGTTCTGTAGTAGGTGTGAATCTATTCTGTGTTAAACATGAATAACTTACCGTGAAATTCCACCATACAACTCACTTGGTTGTTTGAGTTAAGAACATATGGCTTATTGCAGGGTTATTAGTGTTGTCTGAACCTGGGAGACATATTTTATCATGGGTTGTTGCAGTTGGCTACAGAGTTACCTGGCCTGAAATGCCTGTGCCATGGGAAGAAGTGGAATAGGTAATATACAAGAAATTAACAAGATATACGTTTCTGTTCTTTACTACACTGATACCATGATTTTACTTTCAGATTTTACTATACAGGTTTAAGAAAACTGCTGTTTAAACTTAAGCTTAGTTAAACTTGTACTAAAGAAAAGCTGAATATTAAGCTTGCTAAAACAAAGGTGATTGTATTCAGAAAAAGATGCTCCTGTTTCTGATGGTCCTAAAATTGACAAGCAAACAAACAAACAAAATCCCACTGTTCGGAATTCATTCATTTACTGGAAATTTCATGTAGAAGCCAGCCCTAAAATCTGTCAGTGCCATTCTTAAATTCTGTTGTAACATAGGGATATGTTTAGTTAATTTAGCACTAAAAATATTTCAGAGTAAAGCCATATGAAGCTGTGGTTGGGTTGGGATGAATCTGTAACCAACTCATATTCCTTGTTTACTGATTAAATATTGGAAAGTTTTGAACTATTATTCTGTTATAAAGAATTGCCTAAATTATCTTATGAACAGTTCTTGAAGTCTAGATTTTGGAGCTTAAAATACCATAACTTTTTCTAAACTTGTTTTACTTCAATTGATTTATTTTCTACTCTAAGTGAAAATATTTTTAGTCACAGCATTAATTTGAATAAACTATTAATAAATCAATAATTTCAAAATGGTATGAACTTTATGAAAATGGTAAGCAGAGGGCCACTTATTTGATAAAGCTTACATTAGATAAATTGAAGCAAGCGTTCACAACTCTCTGCCTTTCAAACTATGTCAACAGCTGTGGTTGACACCAAATATTAACCCAGGCTCAATACACATCTGTGGCATGTCAGAGATTGAAGATTTGCTATATTATTTGCTGTTTAGCCCATTATACTTCCATGCTGCCCCATGACCCAAGGCTTTTCTGGGTGGCTTACAAGATGCTAAACCAGCATATAAAATAAAACAAGTAAGTCAACAACAAAACACACATTAAAGTAACCAAATGCCTGTTGGAATAAGAAAGTTTTTACCTGGCACCTATAAGAAAGCAAAATCAGCACCCACCATTTGTCCTGTGGAGCAAGTACCAAAGTCTGGGTGTCACTGCAAAGAATGCCCCCCTCCTAACCTTTTAGGAGGAGTATTCAGAGGAGAACTTCAGAAGGAGATCTACATGGCCAGGTAGGCATGTATGGAGAGAGGCATTTCCTTAGATATCCCAGTACCGAGCAGTAAGGTACCTAGCCTTTATACTCTGAACCAAGGTCTCTGTTTCTGGGTTTTATTTTATTCATCTGTATGGTAATACCTCTGATACAGATTTTACTATAATGTACAACGTTTCCTTTTTGCTTTGGCAGCATCAAGAATTCATGCAAAATTTATTATTGATATTGCAGTTGATTGTTCTGAAGATAACTAAATTTAATGGTCTTTTAGCTGTATTCATCTTTATATTATAATTATTTACTTTAAATTTGTTTTTAGGTTAACTTAAAGAAATCTTAAATACAATACCATGAACTAATTCTAGTTTTAAATAATTTAGATTTTGTTTCATGTTGTATCTCTCCTACATTGTCTTCGTTATTTATATGTGAATAGCCTATGACCTAAGCAAAAATAAACAAGATACAAGTAAGAGAAAGGAATGGACCAGTACCTCAGTTCAGGAACCCTGATACTGGTAGGTGGGGATGGACTGTGGGAAGTTAAGAAATAAATAAGTACATTAAAAGGGAGTGAGCAGTCTCACTTTTAAGTGTTGAAGTGATCCTGCTCTGTGTCCTCTACCTTTTTAGCAGTTCCCCAACTCTCTAGCTACTCCAGAAACATTAACTCCCTTGCTGCCCTGCTTTTAGGGGTTCTTTTTCAGAACAGCGGCTGCTGTGGTCACTTCACTCCTGCAGATGTGGAGAAAACTTCCTGATAGGTTTTTTTAATTACCTGGAAAAGATGGCTGCATGAGACAGAGTGAATTGGTTCCCACTGGGGGCATGTAAGCAGTGCCGGTGCCCACGTCTCATTTGTTTCATTCTTTTCAGCTGCCCTCTAAGGTGTGTTTTTAAAAATAAAACTGTCAGGATTATTTGCACACATGTAAGAGCTGAGAAGTAAATGGAGGGGAAATGTATGTACCTGCAGTAACTGCTCTGATATCATAGGTGTGCTAATTTCACCTCAATTTACTGTCAAGGAGATCTACATACATCCACTGAAGCACAGTAGCAGTAGCATTAACTGCTCTGTATAAAGCACAGCAAAGGAGCTGGTAAGTGGAGGAAATATCTCTCTTTCTTGAATAGCTGGAAAGTCAAGGAAGGATTGATAGCATGGAAGGCATTGAGAGGTGTCAGTTCTGCACTTAAAAGTGAGAGGATCACAATGCCAAGGGGGAAGATATTATCCCTCCCTCTTTTGATGTACGTACTTACTTTGTTCATCTGTTTCACAATTTTAGTGCTTCTGAATTGCAGCACTGGGTTCTTCCTTTCTCTTGCTGTTATTTCTCCTCTGGTTCTTAACAACAGTGTACAAATTAGCATATAGGCAAGCTTGTTTTGCCAATTTCCCCTTTGTTATCTACTCCCCTTTATTGCTCCCTTTGACAGCTGAAACATGCAAGGGTGTTCATCAGGCAAGACTATATATATTGGACAGCAGTAAGTGTGTACTTGTGGAACATTGACCTATTTGCACATTGTGAGGCACTAAAAGAGAAGCTGGGGAATGAAAAAGGGTAGCAGTTGGAACAGGAAGGAGATTGGGGTGAGGAGATAAGATGAGTTCTGTTGCAGAAAGTGCTGGGATATGTACTGGATCCAGCTGGAGGACTGGGAGAATTTCAAACATGCTGGTTATATTTTTCTTTGGAAGACAAACTGATAGGTCAAATATGGACGGATATTCTTTTCCACTCTGCTCCCCAGGGAGATGGGGAATGAAAACGTTCGAATGAGAAAGAAATATGTCTCCCCTCTATTGAAATAGAGAATATACTTCAGAGGAGATGGTTATGTTGATGAGATGGGAGATGGTTTAAAAACAATACACTGGTAAATTGAAGAATGGCACTAAAAGGGAACATAAGGGAAACTTTATCTGAAACAATGGATGCTAAATTTGACCTAGGAAAAAAATAGAGTAAGTCACAGAAGATTGCTAAGTTACACAGTAAATGCATGATTTTAAATAAGAAATTTGTATGGCTTTTTAAAGCAAAACATTAAATAAAACATAGGGATGCTGAGCATATATAGCAGGCACAAGAAGAGGAAGCATGACTGGTAAAGGAAGAGTGATACTCAAAATATTTGTGTGTAGCGAGAATCTACAAGTATGGCTATCTGTTGATTTTTATATTAATAAGGTTTATACTTAGTGGAGAATAGAACCTTTACAGTACATACAACCTGATTTGTGAAGATGCAATAAGCGAAGTACATAATGTGGAGAGCAGAGAAGAGGAACCATGAGGTCCCACTCAGAAAGAAATACAGTAGTGACATTGGGACAAATGTTAGGGCAAAGATTAGACAATTGTCATACTGGAAATTGTGCTTAATTATAATGGATTCCAAGTCCAGTAGAGGTGAGTTACAATCCTAGCTGGGAGTCATTCGCAGTGAACTCCATGGAGCTTACCTCAGAGTAGATATGCAGTATTCTGAAACTAAGTGGGAAAATAGGACAATAGAGCCTATAAGATAGTGCTAAATCTGAAACGAGGAAGGCCTTTGATCAGCAACAGAGTTTGTAGTTTGAATGCAGAACATCAGAGATTCAGTGCAAGGATCTCCAGTTATTGGCAGCAATTTATGGCTCCTTGATACTCTGAAATCCACCGCCAGTCAGAATAAGCAGTACTGTGTAGATAATACTCAGTAAAATGTTGCTCTGTAATCTCATACATGTATTCAAAATACTTTTTCTAAGAAAAAAACACAATTCTTTGGCCAAAAAGGATAGGCTTATGTACTGTAGCTTACAAAAGGACCTTTAAACACTAAAGCATGTTATTAGAGTAACCAGTGCATCAGTTGAAAAAAATATAAAGTCAAAAGTAGGTTCTATTTCTAACACTTAAAATATGTCCATGTGTCTGATGTTACAAAAAAAGACAGAACAAAATAAACTATATTTTTTGTGAGTTACCTGTTGTGTGACAGAAAAAAAGGGGAACTTAGATTTATTAATATTCACATCTTGATAAGATTTTACTATCTGACATGGTGGCAGAACTCATTAAAATAGGATCTACATAACATATTGAAGGTGGGGAGAAAGAGCAAAAGGAGTGTGCAGGTGAGAGGGTGATCATGTGGTGTTTTTCACCAACCAGTGCACTGATACAGGAAATAAGCTGTCTTAGGAAAACCTACATGGAGTTAAGCACAGAGAGGGTTCAAATACCATTATCTTTAGTTTCAACAATTGGGTGGTATGTGTGCATACATCTGCCAAGCATGGGTTTAAATAAAAAGCTCTTGTAGTATCTCATAAGATTTATACCTATTTGGTAACCAACCAAACCAGCTGCAATACATGGACTTCAGTGTGGTTCATTCCTAGGTTCACCAAAGCAAGTCCTAAGCCTCCAGTAAGATGCTTAAATTTCACCATGTGTATTTTTGGCTAATCTTCATTCAACATTTCTATATTACCATTGTCTTTGTTCATAATGGCATTTTCATATTTAGCTAACAAATATTTAAGTGATATGCAATAACTGTTAGTGTCCGTATTTTAATTCTTTTTAGCCCTTCCGTTCCTAGTGAGCTGAAGAAAGAATCCTCTGTTCTAAATGTTGCTAAATCTCATGGAAAGCATGGGTCAGCACCATCACCTCAGCCAAAATTCCTCACCCAACACCCACTACAGAAGCAGGGAAATACTACAGACCACTCTCAGGATGTATCATCTCGCACAGCCAATGGAGTAGTAGCACAGAAACAGTTGGACTGCAGGGACAGCACATTGTCATTTCTTGATGCCAATAGGGCCATTCAGAAAAATGATGCTTCCTTTGGCAGCAGCTTGGTAAATGGAGAGAGAGAGAGAACTAGTAAAGACTCATTGCAAACTACAGAGGCATGTAAAGGGCAAACAATCAATAGCTGCTGTCAGATGCCAAGTGAGAACATACTGCCATTTGGAAAAGAAGCTGTAGAGATGATTACCAATACAGAGAATAAGCATGTTGAGGAGCACAATAAGCAAGACTCAAGTGTGGAGACAAAGGTAAGATGATTGGTTTATAGACAAAGTGGAATATTAACTAGTATATAAAAATAAAATACTACCTTCTGTATTACACAAGTAAAGCTGTCTCTAAAAACCATAAATACCCTTTGTATTCATGCCTCCCAATCTGTGTTCTACAGAACTCGTAAGTGTCCACAAAAGCCTCATTGGGGTTCCCCCCAAAATCTCAAAAATTAAATTTAAAACGGATTTTAGAATGAAACTTCATGAGGCCAACTATTTGATTGTCAGTGGTGTCCAAAGAGCAAAAAAGAAATGCATCACATCATTTGGTTCCTGGAACGCTGTTGTGCAATGCTGGGAATAATCGAAAGAATTCATTTGGGATATTACCATATAATCACATCATTCATTTTATTTAAACTGTTTTCTCTGTATTTCCAAACATACTACGTTATGCAAAGCACTCGGGTGATAGGAGCAGATGAAAGGAAGAATGTTGTGAGTTCACAATGCTTAGTAAAAATCAGGGATAAAGTTAGGGTTCCACAGGGGGGGAAATGTCTTCAGAAAGGTTCCATGCTTGATAAAGTTTGGCAACCACTGCTCTAAAAGGGATTCTACATTCTGCATAATAGTTGTGGCTGTTCTTCCCTTCTTTTTATGTGTGCACATCAGTATGTTGTGCTGAATGGCAGTCTACACAGGAAGGACATCTAAGTAATTAATGCATTTTGGCAGTAATTTACAGGAAAAGGATAGTGGTACAATAATAATAGAGAAAGGAAATTGGCAAGTACCTGGAGAAGGCAATGGAAGGGAGCAGTTCTCAGCTTCACCTTCTGGATGGTGAACTAATGTGATGGCATGTGGCCTTTCTGTGTTAAAATTCCTGTCTAAGAGCTGCTCTTTATGGATTTATCTCATAGCTCAGCTATAATACTTAATTTTGTGGCCTTCAGCCACTTTGGTGAGGCTGTTATCATGTGTCTTTTCTTTAGAATTAACATACTAGTGGGAATTGGTATGACCTTGCAAATATGGCTTCCATGGAATGAGTGGGGGGCTGTAAAGTGTAAAGGGCACTTAAAAGAAGCCAGCAGCAAAGAGTGTTTGTACATTTTTCTATACAGAGAATGAAACTGTGGGATGATAAATGCTATGATATTAATGATTCCATACTGTGATATCGCGTGGTGCTGGTGAAGTATGAAAACAAAGAAGAAGGTTTCATACTCATGGAGTTCAAGCTGGACCATTCTTTAATCCTAGCCAGCATTCCCTGACTAATTGGATGCCAGTCAAACCCAGTTGTTAAATGGGACTAAAAAGCCATTGTAGGAGGGGTCTGTTCAGACCTGACTAATCTGAGGACAGCCTGTGCTGAAATAAGGACAAAGCAGCAGCAGGAAGAATAATTTGCATTTTGGGACAATACTTTTTTGAAAAAATCCTTTAGATAACTCTGAATACCTGTGAAAAATATTCTCAATATAAACCTTTCAGAAGTTTATACTGAAAATCTTGTTCACGGGTCCTTCAGAACCAGAAGCTGTTAAACCCCAATTACATATTTTTCATGGCAAATGGCTTTTCTATTCCAAGAAATCATTTCCTTGGGTGCTTTAGTCCACAGAATAATTCTGAAATCCTCCAGTGGTGGAAGAACAATCCTTGTGAATCAGTCCTCTGAATGGAGAGAAATAGGGGATATAGTGGTATTTTATGCTCTCGTAGAAATAGTTTTTTTTTTAGAAAAGTAAAATGAAGAACCTGTTTTTCTGTTTCTGTTTTCAGTGGTGTGTTTATTTTTTCATTTCCCTTCCAGAGGGCCATTCTGCTTACAGAAGACACTGTTATAATTCTGAAGTTAAAATATTTTTCTTATGGTTCATCTTGCAATAACAATATCAAATAACTTGCATAGAAGGACCAAGCTTTTGGAACCGCTAGATCTTTTAATTACACAGAGTTTATTTAAAAAAACAACAACAAGTTGCTGGTGGGGATATGGCTAGATGTTACAGTGAAGATGTCTGCATAGCCATTGAATCAATTTGCTAAACTGCCATGGGCAATTAACCTGCCGGACTTTATGTGATATGTCATGTACCATTTTGAGTATTTTAGAACAGCCATAGATTATGTTGCTGTAGCCATGAGAAGTGCTAAAGTGTAATGACTTTGCCTAGCACTTTAGTGATAAAATCACTCAGATTTGCCACGAGCTGGTCTCCACAGTTGATAAGGTGACAGAATGAGAAGTGTCCAGAGTGCCGTTTGGTCCATCTTTATTGGACAAGTTTCAATTGTTCTGGCCTGAGGATGTGGATAAGGTGCTTGGGTTGGTCCGACCCACCACCTGTCTGCTCAACCCTTGCCCTTTCTGGCTGCTTATCAGAGCCAGAGATGGGCGATATACCTGGGTCCTGGCGGTCATCAATGCCTCTCTGAGGGAAGGCCAGGTCCCCACTCCTTTGAAGGAGGCAGTGATCAGGCCTGTCCTGAAGAGGGTGTCTCTGGACCCAGAGATGGCCGCCAACTATAGGCCAGTGGCTAATATCCTGTTCTTGGGCAAGGTGCTTGAGCGGGTGGTGGTGAAGCAACTCCAGGTGCTCTTGGAGGAAACTGAGCATCTAGACCTGTTTCAGTCTGGTTTCAGACCCAGCTATGGGACTGAAACTGCCTTGGTCACCCTGTATGATGACCTGTGCAGAGAGAGGAACAGGGGGAGTGTGTCCCTGTTAGTTCCCCTGGACCTCTCAGCGGCTTTCAATACCATTGACCATGATATCCTTCTGGATAGGCTGGCTGGGTTGGGAGTTGGAGGCACTGCTTGGCAGTGGTTCCATTCCTACCTGTCTGGCAATTTCCAGAAGGTGGTGCTGGGGGATTAAGGCCATGGCAACTTTGCCATGGAGTTCCGCAGGGTTCCATTTAATCCCCCATGCTTTTTAACATTCACATGAAACCACTGGGAAAGGTCATCTGGGGGGCGAGGTTGGACTGCGGAGTTATCAGTATGCTGATGACACCCAGCTCTACCTCTCTTTTACATCTAGTCCAGGTGAGGCAGTGACTATCCTGACAGGGGTCATGGGTTGGATGAGGGTCAATAAATTGAGACTTAAACCAGACAAGATGGAGGTCCTGTTGGTGGGTGGTTCTGCCTTCTGGGTAAGTGATGTTAACCCTGTCCTGAACAGGATTGCACTCCTCCTAAAGGATAGGGTGCACAGTTTGTGTGTGATTCTCAATCCAGAGCTCTCTCTGGAGTCTCAGGTGGCAGCAGTGGCAAAGAATGCTTTTTCCCCCAGCTCTAGCTGATCTACCAATGAGTTACCAATGCTAGGATGAGCAATGTCTAGCAACAGTCATTCATGCTCTATGTGGGGCTGTCCTTGAAGATAGTCTAGAAACTTCAGTTGGTCCAGAATAGAGCTGCCAGGATATTAATGGGTACCGGCAGATACTCACATACAAAGCCAGTCCTCTATCAATTACATTGGCTACTAATTGAAGTCTGAACCCTATTTAAGATATTGGTGATGACCTATAAAGCCCTAAACGGCTTGGGTCTTGGGTACCTGAAGGAGTGCCTTCTTCCCTATGTGCCCTCCTGCCTCTTGAGATCTGAATCTCCTCCTTGAAGGAGATTAGGAAAGTAGCTACCTAGAGAAGGGCCTTTTCTGCGGTGGTGCCCAGACTATGGAATACGCTCCCCAGGGAGGTTTGCCTGGCCCTGATGCTTTATTCTTTTTGGCATCAGGTGAAAACCCTTTTATTTTCCCATTATTTTAATGTTTAGTTTGTTTTAACTGGGGTTTTTCTCTTCATTGCTGGATTCTGTGTTGTTTTGCTATTTTATTGTTCTTTGTTGTAAGCCGTCCTGAGCTGTCAAACGGGGTATATACGTTTTAAATAAATAAAATTTAAAACTAGGTATCCTGGAAACACAGAATCCCATTCAGCTAGCTAGACCTACATTACATAGTTAGAATACCAGGTGTCAACCACTTCTCAACAGACAACAGTAATGTACCCAATATCATATATAATGTGCTTTAAAGAAAAAGTATTTAAGGGAAGCACAATAACCCTAACCCTAAACCTTTCAGGAAGTAACATACTTGTGTTAACAAACACTTTCATTTTCTCATGTCAGATAACTCTTACTCTGCAAAGTTTAAATCTTAAAGTAACCTGTTATCATGGCTACTCTCTGACTAGGTTTGCATGACATGATAACCCACTGGGGTTTGCAACAGTTGGGTGCCCATCAAACCTCGCCCAGTTTCCTTAGAATAGTTTGTTGACAGCAACAAGTCACTCCAACAACATTTGGGTTGTTATGGGGCTCTTGTGCCCCCAAAGGATTGTTGTGCCTTCCAAACCTGAGCAACTGATCTCATCATGGGTACTGAACCATGTGGTAAAAGTAGCAAAAAATCTGCTGCCACTCTTGGTAAGCAACTTCTGGGTGACGATAACTGTCAATCACCCTAAAAGTGCCCAAGCACTTTCTACTTACCTGTTTCTGTATCCTGTTAAACTTGTTTTCTGCAGAATATGAAAATCAGCTGTCAAGCCAACTTTTGACATTTCTGCTTTGACAGTCACAGACAGTCCCTTCAAAATGCTCTCATGACACCTTGGAGGGATTGTCCATGCTTGCCAAGCATTTTTGTCCCCCTTAATTTTTACAAATGTTTGTGAAAAAAATTAAAACCCATGCTTCCATATCTGTGGATGTTCACAGTTATACGACTGGGGAGTTTTGGTGCCCAGGTGATTGTTAGATATTGTATAATTTGTGAATCAGCCCTGTGAAGGGTAGATAAGGCTATGACCAGATCTGAAAATATTATTTATTCATTTCATTTCTATATGGACACATAGCTGAAGCTCTCTGGGTGGTTTCCAATAATCCATAAATTCAATAAAATACAATACAAATACATAAAAGCAAAGAAGCTTTTAAACATCAGAACAGCTAAAATCTACAGTTTAGGGTTGTAGAAAGTTAGGCTATACTTCACAGAGGCTGTATAAGAATAGAAAAGGACTATGAAAGGCATATTGCGAAAATTGGAGGATTGTTTCTAGATACTGTGCTAACTACTGAGAACCAGTGTGGTGGTAAGGTTAAGAGTGCAGAATTGAGACTCAAGAGATCTGGGTTCTAGTCCGCACTCAGCCATGAAGCTCACTGGGTGACTTTGGTCAGTAACAGACTATCAGCCCAACCTACCTCACAGGGTTGTGAGGATAAGATGGAGAGGAGGAGGAGGAGAATTATATAAGCTACCTTGAGTTTCTTGAAAGGAAGAAAAGGCTGGATATAAATAAATACTGGAGAGTTGATTTTAGTTTGTGATATGCTTAGAACAGAACACTATACTTTAGCTCTCTCCTTAAAATTTTACGTATTGTTTCTGCTGTGAAACAGGTATTCTCCATACATACTATTAATTTGTATATGAGACTTTCTTTTTAAATGTCATTTTAATTGTTAATGCTATGTATTGATTTTATATCTTCGTCTAGGATGTCTCCAATTATATTGTTTTATATGGTTAATTGTGTATTTATTGTTGTGAGCTGCCCCGAGGCTTCGGTGAATGGGGTGGCATAGAAGCTTGCTAATAAATAAATTTATTTATTTAGCTAGCTAAATAAATAAATAAAATACTTTACTATTTTTGACCACAAACAGACTGTGTATGTGTTAACTCTTTGGCTTTTTTGGGTTTTAGTCACCTTTTAAAACACTCTGGGACGTAACTGACCATTGAACAGAATGTGTCTAAATGCCCCTCCACACTCCAATCCTCCACACAAACCTAAGTTTACCTCAAACCAAAATTAGAGTTGCAGGTTGCTATTGTATTAAAGAACAAGCAGTACTTATACCTAAACATTTTACAACTTCTTCACATAGAAGTCAGAAGTGGAAAAGGATAGATTTAGCTTCCCACAGTCCTTCATCCAGTTTTCAACCATTAGGATTCTGTAGAAAGAGAAGAGCACTGTTAATTAACACATGCAGATAATTAATTTTGTGCAATTTTTCCAAAAAGTTCACAATTACATTGTAAGTTCTTTATTCTGAAAATAAAATTGCATGTATTTCTAGGAGACAAATGAACAGAAATGTTACAAAATTGCCAGTGAACTTTTGCACACAGAAAGAGCTTATGTCAGCAGACTTGCTCTCTTGGATCAGGTAAGAGAGGGTGTTTTTTGTGTTTTAATATTGTTACCTTTATCCAATATTTGAAGAAATACTTTTAAATTAACCTGTGGCTAGCACTGAAAGAGTTCTGCTTGTGTGTCTCCTTATGCATTTCCATGCACCTATACAACATGTCATCTTTCCAAAAAATATAAATGCTAGTTCTTCTGTTCCTCCACCTTGATTTTATGAATCATCATGTAATGTATATTTCCCACAACTTCTGCACCACTTGTTCTCTTCATCTACAGTGTTACTCCCTGTTCCTGTTTTAGACCATAATGGCTGGACCCACACTGCTGATATTTGCCTTGCTGCCCCCCCTCCCCCCCTTTTCCTTTCAGAAATAAGGTGCAGTTCACTTCCCCACCCTGCTTTTTGGCAAACATTTTGGAATATAGGGTTATTTCATTACTACTAAAAGCAAAGGAAGCTTTGAGTTTGCTACTTAAAAGTACAAAAATCCATCTCTATTCAAAAGATGACTAATAACTTCATAAGGTGACTAGGAATTACTCATATCCTCTGCTACAATTATGTGAATCCATTATGGTTCTACAGTCAAAAAATTGCATTTGCCATTTAAATGTCATACAGCGCATAAGCTTTGATTTTGCTCTTCTCAGTCAGTACCCTATTTTTAATGTTATAATAAAACATTTCTGTTCCTAATGTCTGCAAGTTTTTCATCATGTAATGCTACCCACAGCATGCTTCATTTCCGTTTTTTAGGCCTTTGCATCATAAAGTCAGTTTCTTGCAAAAATGCCCACTTTTTCTGTTGAACAAGCCTGAAATATCAGAAGTTCTGTACAGCTGTCTTCCTTGGAATAAAAACTTGACATCTCTTACTGCCCTTTAATTGCTTGCTGCTTAGGTTCTTTTCACTGCTAATATCTCACTATATCTGTTAGCTATACCAGTGCATGCAATTGCTGTAAGCTTTGTAAGAAACTACTTTTCTAGTGAATTTAAAAAAATAGTGTAATTAACATAGATTCAGAGAATTAAAATAATAGTCACACTGGAAATCTCTTGGCTTGCAGGCTCAAATTGGCATATGTATGCCCTCCAGGCCCTTTGTCTTTGTTATTGCTGTATTAATCTGTTGTGGGAAACATACAGTGCCTCCCTGTTCCAGTGCCATGATGCCATTCTGCTTTTTCCTTGATGTCTCCTTTCTTCATAAGCTTATTTTGGGTGCCTGACCATTCTTTCCCAGTTCTTCAGCCACCTGCTTCTTTGTCCCTTTCCATATAGGCATCTGCCTGTTTCTCCTGGTCCTTAGGGCTTGCCTGAAGATTCTTAATTGTGTATTCTTATCTTCAATTCATGGTTGCCTTTGTTATTTTCTCCCAGCTAGTCTTCTGTAGCTAATTTTCCCATGAATCCCTGTTTAATCCTGGCTTGTTTTCATTAAGCTACCGTAGTTTAAACAAAATCACAGTTCCCTTCCTGACCTCCTTGTGGCTGGGGAATGGGGAGGAAGGATCAGACAAGCTGGAAGATCAATCATTTAGTGGGAAATTAGGCTTTCCTAATATGTCTAAACTGTGTCATGTAATGGCTCTAATAATGATAGAGCCAATAAAGTCTCAAATCATGAGGCATATGAATTGGATATTCTGTTGAACTATATCTGTCCTTAAAAGACATGCATACATGAAAAAGTTTCACCTGTTAACAATTATGACAAAGTGTTAGGGGAATTCACTGTTCTAATTTTAGGTCAGTTGTCTCAGAATCTAGGGTCTTCATCTCTAATACCAGAAAAATAATATTTTTCATGGAGAATGAAATAATGGCTGTCTTCAAACATAAAAGTAAGCCATGGTAGTTTAGAATAATGAGAACAAGTTTTGAGCTTGCGCACAATGCTTCTAGCACTGCCACAAGAGATCAGAAGCTTCCTCTTCCATCTTGCAGCTTAAGGGGAAGCTGTTCAATATGATACTTGGTAGTTTGCTTTATTTTCTGTGAGAGAGTAATTACGAGCAAGATAGAAGAAGTGGTTTTGAGGTAGCTCATGAAAGTAGGAGGAGGTCATTATAACAAAAGGAGCTTTTATTTAAAAAAAACAAAACCCCAGCAACATCAGATTAAATGGAAACCATCCAGATACTTGGGAATTGTTTGCTTGTCTTTGAGGAGAACAAGAATGCATCTTTTATGGTTGACTCTACTTTGCATCTGTTGCAGGTATTTTATTGCAGACTGGCAGATGAAGCTAATCGGGGATCATTTCCTGCTGAAGTTGTTAATAAAATATTTTCCAATATTTCATCAATAAATCAATTCCACAGTCAGTTCTTGCTGCCAGAGCTTGAGAAAAGAATGCAAGAATGGTAAGCATTGTTGCAAATTATTGGAGGATAATTGTTTGTGAGTAGTAATATGAGCACATGTGTTCCATGGATGCTCTAGGGTCATATACCAGAGGGATTTTAGCACTGCAGTATTGGAATCCATAAAGTTACTTCACAGAAAGGTCCAGATAGATATAAAACAGATGACCTTTATTCCTTAAAGCAGGTCCTTCTATATACAACATGATTAAATAGACACTGAGCATGAAATGAAAACCCGTCTATTCAATTCTTCTGAAAATAAAACACTCCAGTGTAAGTCCAGCACCCAGATATCCTGGGTTGTATGACAGAAGGCTAGATTTTGCTATTGTTTAACAAGTATGAATGTGATTCTTTGAGACTGAACATATTTCATATTTCTCTGGTTCTGCTTGTATACAAAACAAATAGATTTGATAGAAGAAAGCTAACTTTATAATTGAAGGAAAGCTTCTATTTTTAAAAATGCATTATCTTGAAGAAATCATCTGGGACCAGTATATTTTAAATGACTTTGAAGTTGTTGAACTGCCTTTGAAATTTTTATAATGCTGGGCAGAGTTCACAGAAAATTGTTAATTCTTCGTCGTGGCCTCTGTGCATCACACATATGGGTACTGCGCCTGCGTGGTGCCTTTGGCCAGAAGATTGATAGCTAACGGTTTTTGCCAGGAAGCTCCGCTCCCCCTCCCCCTTGTGGCCTATAAAGAGCGGAGTGTCCTCCATTTTGTTCAGTCTTTGCGACCGCCGTTCACTGTGCTTTGTGCTGTTTTCGACTTTCGCTTTGGCTATTCTTGGTTCTCTCCTTATATATTGCCCTTATACTACTTTCTCCCTTCTTTGTTCCCGCTTCTGTGTAGTTTTTCTCTTGTTATTTCTTTCTTCGATTTATCAAAAAACAAAAAAAACAAAACCAAAAATATATACTTACCCTCTGCACTATCTCTCTTCTTCTTCTCTTCTTCTGCGATGGCGCACGGAGCGGCTTTCCGCAAATGTGCGGATTGTGGGTCAAAAATGGCACCTACTGACCCGCACAACCTATGCCTCCTCTGCCTTGGAGAGGGGCATGGGACAGATAAGTGCATTCATTGCCTAGCCTTCTCAAAGCAGGCTAGGAAGAACCGCGAGAACCGGCTTCGGAGGCTCCTTTGGGATAGGGCTCTGATGCAATCAGACCCGCTCGTCTCCATCCCAAAACCTGGCTCCGCTTCTGTGGCTCCACCCTCACGCCCTTCAGATGAATGTGCATCCACTTCGGTGGCCCCTTCTGCTTCACCAAAAAAGAGGCATGAGAAGCGGAAGCATGCCGAAGAGAAGCCGGCAGGCCATAAGAAGGCCAGAAAGGAGAAGACCTCTAAGCCTCCAAAGAAGGCAAAGTCCACGGACCGTCCCCGACATCGGGACTCGGAGCTGACGGGACCCTTGGTACTGGTGGCAGTTACGATACTGACCCCGCCCAAACCGATCCTTCAGGAGGCCATGCGGGTTACCCCTCAGGGGTCTCCCCGACGTGCAGTCGACCTCCTGCCTCCTTCCAACTGTATGGGGGTCTATTCCGGATGGGGAAATCCAGGACTCCCCTCCTAGGGCAAGGTCACCGATACCGATGCCTGCGGTGACGGTGGAGACAGAAGCTGGCCTGTCCCCACCAGGGAATCGGAGGAGCCGCTCAGTAGAGCAACGCCCGGAGAGTTGGCGTCGTCCCTACTACCAACCTTGGGGAGACCCGCTCTCTGTGGGGTACTACCCTGCTCCCAGGGCGCGATCCTCACCTCTGCCCCACGACCAACCGCGGTCAGAGATTCCGAGGAGGGTGCCACCTCGATCCCCACAAAGCGGGAACAGCCGCTCCTTCTCGCCGGCGGAGTCATCCTCTTCTGCCCCACCATACTATGGTGCTGATTCGGATGACTCTGAAGTAGACTCAACCTCCCTGGACGTCGTGGTGACATCCCAGGATCCTGCATCACTCGATGAGTCCCACGTCTCCTTCGCAGAACTGATGTCGAGGCTTGTCCAGTCCCTGGACATCAACGCTGCCCAGCGCCCGGAACCGTCGACGGACAAGTTTTACGACGTCGTCCGCAGGGAGCAATTGACCTCCATTGTTCTGCTGCTTATAACCACCCTGAGGCAGGCGATGACGCAGCCCTGGGACCTACCTTCACATCCTCAGCCGACGTCCAGGAGGTATGAGTCTATGTACAGGGTCCGGGAAGAAGACATCCCCTTCCTGTTAAAGCACCCGAAACCAAACTCGGCGGTCGTTGAATCCTCGCAAGGCAGAGAGGTGAGAGGACATACGGCACTGAGGGATAAGGAGTGCCAGAAAATAGATTCCCTGGGCAGGCGAGTCTATGCTGCCTCGGGCTTAGGACTTTGCATATCCAGTTACAAGGCGACGTTGGCGCGATATCAATATTTTATCATGCAGCGCCTCCACAACGTCGCCTCCACCCTCCCAGACTACCAGGGTGACCTTGCGAAGGTCCTAATCAAAGAAGCCATGCAGGTCGCGGTGCAGCAGTTGTCCACGGCACGTCACCACGTGGACACTGACTCCCGGGCCTTGGTCGGTGCCGTTTCCCTCCGGAGACACGCATGGCTCCGGAATTGTAATTTCCCGGAGGAAACCAAGCGGCGGATAGAAGAGATGCCTTTTGATGGTTCCGGTCTCTTCCATTCACGTACTGACCACAGACTCAAACTGCACGAGTCAAGAATGACGGTGCGCAGGATGGAGATCCAGTCACACAATAGACTAAGTGGTCCTGGAATCGGCCATCCTACAGGCAGTCCTACCAGCAGAGACAGCAGCCGCAACACTGCCAGCAACAACAGCATCAATAGCGCCGCCGCCCTCAGCCCCAACAGCACTTCCAACAGGGCTTCCAACAGGGCCGCCGTCGTTGTGACGATTGGAGGCAGCGCTGACAGGACTGGCGAACCACTCCTCATGCTCCTCTAATACCCACCCCCCTCTCATCTGGGGATCGGCTCCAAAGCCGACTCCCCATTTGGGAGTCCATCACATCTGACCGGTGGGTATTATCCATCGTTCAACACGGCTATCGAATGAGTGGATGCATTGACAGCTCAATGTCGATGAGAGAGCGCATCTTCAGTACTGACCATCTCCTTTACGGTACCGACAAAAAATAAATAAAATAAAATTCTATTAAGATACCGTACGTTCGGTCGCAAAGACTGAACAAAATGGCGGACGCTCCACTCTTTATAGGCCACAAGGGGGAGGGGGAGCGGAGCTTCCTGCCAAAAACTGTTAGCTATCAATCTTCCGGCCAAAGGCACTGCACAGGCAGTACCCATATGTGTGACTGCACAGATGGCCACTCGAAGAACATCAGTTACAGGTAAGCAACCTGCTTTTTTTCTAACGAGAATTCTGGTAGAAAAACTTGATATGACCATCAAGGAGAGGCAGTGCCCTCTCCTTGGGATTATTAGCAAGTTGATGGCTATATTTCATTGTAATGATTAAACTAGGCTTCAGAACTGTAATGCTGAAGTAGGTTTTCCATTAAAACATTCTTCATGCAAACCTCATTCTCTTTCAGTGTGTTTGTAAGAGAACTGAAAGCTTTCACTTTAGTTTTTAGCTAGCTGCTGTTTAGTGTTATGCTAAAATTGAGACAAACTGTGATGTAGCTTTATTTGATTGGAAGAAAAATCAAGCTTCATAAACCAAGATTTGAAGTTTGCTCATTTCAGATAAATATTGTTAGGATTAACCCCAGTTTGTCTGTGTTTTGGCAAAATTAAACTTTAGTTAGTCAAAATAGATGTAACAGCTTCCAATTTCCTCCTTATAGCCACATTGAGGGTGGGTGTAACATGGTGAGTACAAAGCTTGTCTATATTGGTTCCTGTAATGTTAAACAGGGATGTGCAACTGGTAGCCCTTCAAATATTTTTTCAGCTCCAACTTCCATAATCCCTAGCCAGCATAGCCAACAGTGCAAGTTATAGTCCTGCATCTGGAGGGCCATAAATTGCTCACCCTTGAGTTAAACCTAGTTTATTGTTATGTCTGAACACAACCTGGTGCAACTCCATGGAAGCATAGAGGCTTCTACTTTTTCCATGATGCTTTAAAATTCCATATTTTGCACAAGTCTACATTAGAGAAAGTAGTTATTTAAAAAGTCACATTTGTGACATGTCCTCCAGGCACAGAATTTGTATTTTGTGGCAATAAAACGGGAAATGTTACCACTTTCTTTATAAATATTAGCATCTGTAATACTTTTCTTTTTATAAACTACTATTCTTGTTTTAAGAACGATGGAGTCTTCCCCTCAGAATAATAAAACAGTTCAAATATGTTTTGATGTACACAAAGTTATACTAAGTCACTACTGCATTGTATTTTGCAGTTTAAAACATTTGCAAATTGTTTTACTCTTTAAAAAAAGGCAGCCTGTTAAGATTTTCTGTGTGTCAGTTTTCTGATTGCATCTTCCTAAAAACTGAACAATTCTCTGCATTAGAATGTAGTTGGCCCCCACACCCAATCCATATACACTGCCATGTGGTGACAAGACCTGCCTTTTAAAATCCTTTGGCTAAGTTATCAAATACTTTGCATTAATAACCTAGTACAAAAGATACATAGCATAAACTAAGGAAACAATTTAAAATGTACAGGACTTGAGGGATCCATACCAAATGTTAATTGGATTGGTGTGAGTCCTCATAACAGTGCTTTTTCTTATTTAGGGATACAAACCCCAGGATCAGTGATATCCTGCAGAAATTAGCTCCTTTCCTCAAGATGTATGGCGAATATGTGAAGAATTTTGACAATGCAATGGAATTAGTGAAAACATGGACTGAACGATCACCTCACTTCAAATCTATTATTCAAGATATTCAGGTAATGTGTGAATATATGTTCTGCTAAGTGTCTTGATAGTAAAGACAGTTGGGCTATTCAGATTAAAACGGTGGCTTTTGACAAGAATGTGTAGGTTAATTAATACTTGAATTGCTCTTGGGTTACCTTGTGATTGTTTAACCCGTGAACATCCCCATGTTTCTTGGTTCAGACATCATGGTAACAACCCTTAAACATAGCATTTGGTGGATGCTTCTGAAACAGGAAGCACCTCGCCCACAACATGTATCTCTGAAATTTGTGGGTGGATTAAAGGACCCATGAATCATCACTGAAAGTCACTGTTAGATCTGAACATAGAACCTGTACTATAGCATTTTACTTCATTGGTTGATATAGTGCCTCAAGTGAACAAGCTGAGGGCTTGAAGCTCATCACAAATGGTATGGTGAGGTACATTCTGAAGAATGTATGTACTAATGATCACGTATTAATAATTCTTTCTTAATACTTAATTCATAACCCAGACACATGGGAACTAGGTTTGTGGCTCTTGTATATTGAAAAAGATAAGGTCCTTTTCCAATGTTGTTTTATAGATTTCTTAAAATTAGGTCATTGTGTGGTCCTGTGCATGGATAAAGCCACCTTTTAGACTAGGCAAAGATCTAAATCAATTCCAGTTTCCAGCTGAATGTATATTATAAAAACTAAGCAGAGAGAAGTTCCAAAAAAGACAATTGTTTTTAAAATAAAATGAAACTAGCTAACTGAAATTTAACAAGATTTTAGCAGTAACTCACCAAAACAGCTCACTAGTGTGCCCCCCCGCCACACACCCAATCCATATACACTGCCACGTGGTGACAAAACCTGCCTTTTAAAATCCTTTGGCTAAGTTATAAAATATTTTCCATTAATAACCTAGTACAAAAGATGCAGCATTTGGCTGTACAGCATGGCATAGTCTAGTCTTGACCCTTTGCTAGGTGTTTAAAGACAAAAGTTAAAGATTTCCTTTGGCACTGGGGGGCCTTCTGGAAAGAGAAATGCAAACTGATCAGACACTGCCTCAGTTGAATTGCCTGCTCCACTCTGTGCAGGCTTTTCTTAGTCATACAAAAGCTGCTTCCCAAACAAGTGTTGCCTTGAGGAAGATTCTTGATGACTTAATGAAAGCATCATATTTCATCTTAGGATCTTATTTAGTAAGATTTTAATTATTAAATACAATTCAAATCTGAAGTATTTTCCCTTCATTTGGTAGTATTTCTACAAAATATTTCTAAAATAAGGCAGTTCATTTTAACAAATATAGAGTGAAAGATACATATTTCTGAAACTCTTACTATGAACAAATATTTGTGTATTGTTTTAGAAACAAAAAATCTGTGGAAATCTGACCTTGCAACATCACATGCTAGAACCAGTGCAACGCATTCCACGGTATGAGATGCTCCTGAAAGACTACCTAAGAAAATTGCCTCAAGACTCTCTAGACTGGAAGGATGCTGAAAGTAAATATGTTTTTTCAGGTTCTTTAGTCAGTATTACAGCATAACTGAAACAGTAGAGCTACTTAATAATTTAGAGCTGTGCCAGGAGAGGGGGGGAGGAGAGAACTTCATAGGAAATGTCACTTGAAAAATTCTCCTTTGTGAATCAATTAAATGTCTCTGCAAAATGGCTTTTATTCAGAGCTTTCCGAGCAAACAAAAACGTGCAATGTTATTAGCCTTGTTTTCTGGAAAGTAGTGCAGATTCTGAGTACACAAATTATATCAAAACCACCCAGCAAGAAATCTAGGGTAGAAAAAGAATTTCTTTGCACAGCTTGTGAACAATTTGTAGACGTTGCTCCCACAAGATAGCCTCTAACTTTTATGGCTATAAAAGGAGAATAGACAGCTATCAGTGACTACTAGTAGTATTGTTATATGCAACGTTCAAGTTCCAACTACAATATGCCACTGATTACAGCTGCTGAGTGCAACGATGGAAGAGGACTATGCCTGTATATGTCCCAGTTAGCTTCACTGCCATCTGAAAATCCATTTTTAAAGAGGACTAAGTGTATTGGCATCTGTCAAAACTCATTTTCCCCAGAAAAAAAAGGTGGAATGTACTTTTGCACTTCAACAACCAGCCAAAGTCTGAGGAGAACGTGCATCAACCTGCAGGGTATTGAGGGAGAAAGAGGGTCTCACTGCTAATGGGATATAAATCTCACCATCCCATTTTTGTGTACCAAGATCCCTTGTTACTTTGCTTTCTCTTGTCAAGTGTCTTCTAACAGTTGTCAACATAAAGCAAAGGCGGGAAGCTTATTTTAATCCTCTTTTTGCAACGTTCAGGGTTGGTACTTGCTGTAGTCTGACAACAGGTACCTGACACCAGCATTGCTCAACTGAGGGTTTCCCTTTTGCAGTTGCACAAATATGGTTTAAAAAGTAAGGGGTTTTGGTACATGTTGTATGTGTAAAAATTATCTTTTAAAAATCATCAACTGGCAACTCCTCCAAGTGTCAGCTTTGGCAATCTAAAGGGGCTGTGAGTAATTGTCAAATTGGAGTTCATGAAAGCCAGCTGTCAAACACTTTGAAAATGCTGGATGGGAAAAGGGCTGTAGTGAGCCAAAATTGTGGGGACAGGTCCTGCCAAAGTGTTTCCTGGGATACGCATAGGCTTAGGGAAGACTAGGGAATCTGGTTTTGGGGTGGGAGTCTATCATTTCCTCATTTTGGCTTCCCTGACTCCAGTGTGTTTTTTCTCTTCCCTGATTGCACCTTATGATGAGTGTTTGTATGGACATCTGTCAAGAAGTGAGTTCAAATGAGACTTCTGCTTCCACAAAGGTGAAGGTGTGGAAGTGGACTTTGCTTACTTTGTGCAAAAAATTATGTACTTTGTATGTTTTGCACAAAGAATCTGCTAGCATCCCCATGTGTTTGTGGACTTGCTTTCAGTTTGGCTCACTTCCTGGGCAGGGCTGAGCATGAGAAAGAAGTCTAGGGAGCACAAGAAAGCACTGTGACCTGATCTTTGAATCTCTACACAGGATAACTGAGGGGGGAGGCAAAGAACCCACATTGAGCGCAGTCATCTGTAAGTTGAACCGTGGGCTGTTTGCTCAACAACCAGCCCACCATGGCTTATTAATAAGTGCGCACAAGAATTTTAGAATTCCAGAAATCTGTTTATCGTATCACCTCCACCTCTTTCTGTCATATTCATTCAGTGAGGTTTTTTTAAATATACAAAAGTTACATACAAACCAGTATTCTTCAGACTACAAAGCAGATCTTAACTGTCATTAGCAACAAAAATTTCAGGTAAACTTTTCAGAAAACAAAGTCAGTTTCCTGAGTTAGGGCATCATTGACTTAGGAAGCAAAATTGACTTGAAACTCATAGGGATGACTATCCACTCTCCCCTCAGTTCAAGCTGAATGGGCTATTGCCCCAGCCTCAAGGTGGATCTTTCCATTTAGTGGGTTCCTTGACTGGTAGTTTGTCTGCGCATAGAATTGCACTACACTGGCCTCCCTTTTCACCTGACACTTAACCCCTTGTATTTCTGATTTCAGCCACCACTTGCTCTGCAACCTGCTAACCCCCTTGACTGCCCTCTGGTAGATTATGTGCCAGCTGACTGAACGGCAGAAACTCCTCTCTATCTCATCCACTTGCTCTTTTAATGCTTTGGCAGCATCTTTCTGCTCCCCATCCAAGTTGCGCCCAGAGTCAGTTCCCAGGTTTTCTTGAGTCTCCTCTATAAAGACATGAGGACCAATCCCTCTGCATTTGAGGACTTAGGCCATTGAGATGGCTTTTTAGATGGAACTAAATAAAGATGGCATGTTCCTATTATTTCTTTTGTTGTAGTGTGTTCGTTCGTTAAACTAGTGTACTTGGATTTCCCTCTAATTAGAATGCTAGCTAATATCTGTTGATTTTTTTAAAAAAATCTTCCATAGAGAGGCAAAAGTGAAGTGGCAATGCCTTTATTAAACTCCATAGATTCCTTCAGGTATGAAAAATGACTAAAGACATCATTTTCATAAGGAATTTATTTTGATGTTAGTAGAGAAGGAGTTGACAAATAGCATTGGTTGCTGGGATGGCAACTTCCAGTCATGAAGAATGATCTGTTAAAAGTTTCTCATGCTATCTTTCAATGAAAGAGAAATTACCTGACCAATATCTATTTCATAAGAACCTATATCAAATTAAAACAGTTCAGATAAATCTAAAAACTTAGTGAATTAAATCATGGACTTTGCTTTACTTTTGCAAATAAAACAAGTTGTAGGCAATGGGCAAGCTTACATTTGAAAAAGCAGCCTATGTATTATAGAATGAACCATCTATCTTTTCTTGGTTATTTTTCTCATATAGAATCTTTGGAAATAATATCCACAGCAGCAAGTCATTCTAATAGTGCAATCCGAAAAATGGTAAGTCCTATAGACATTTATCCTCTGTATAATTTTAATTGGATGGTAAGCATGCAAGTTTGTGAATGCTTAAGTAGGAAATACTACTATTTTTCAACCATTACGTTAAGTTTTACTAGATTGCCTCATACTCTTATTTTAAGAGAGCTGTAATATGGATACTGTTTGAATGATCAAGTTGGATAGTCACTGGAAGTGCAACTGGAAGGTCATAATATCCTCTAAAGAATACATAGGCAACCAGAAGTAGATTGCTTTTATTTGGTACCTGTTGAAAAGCCCTTAGTGATGATTGGTATTTCTCTAATCACTTTCCTAATAGGAGATTTCTACTTAATTTTACTGCAAGAGTTGCCCAGCATAATCAATCACTTTCATAGAGGACCATTGTTATGAAACCAATTAATGTGTTAATTCTTAGAACTATTTCATATTTTCACCTTCATCAAAGTGCTTTCAACTGGTCTGTGTTAATGCTGCTATTTTTTATTTTACTATAAAAGGAAAATTTGAAGAAGTTGCTGGAAGTTTATGAAATGTTAGGGGAAGAAGAAGATATTGTTAATCCTTCAAATGAACTCATAAAAGAAGGACAGATACTTAAACTTGCTGCTCGGAATACATCTGCCCAAGAAAGATACCTTTTCTTAGTAAGTGTTTGTGCCTCATAACTGACGTTTTGTAACAATACATAAAGTTTCAAATTTCTCTTTTTTTCTGGGATTTTCTGTTTCAATGATCTAATGCTGACACCTTAAAAAGAGTGTGTAAATGGTCATTCTTTCTCCATCCTGGCTCTTGTCAGCCCTAACCATTGTTTAATATTACATCTGAAACAAAGCTAAACTTGCTTAGTGCAAACCGGGCTTGCAAACTGCTTCAAACATATTTGAAACCTTGGGTAACGATCACCAAGTGTTGTGCTAGTGCAGATGTAACATTAAATCACTGATTAAGACTTACAAGTGAATGGGACTTTTTGTAAAGTCATGTTTTATATTTGCAATACATGTACAATTATCTGTATATACACATTTGCAAGCAAACTATTAAGTAGCCTTAAATCATGAGTGCTGCAGGAGAAAATGAATCATAGCTCACATTTCAGAATTCACTCATATTCCATGGATTAACATATAAAGCAGGTTTCAAACTGATGCTTGCCAGAATGAAATCCACTAACATATGCAGTTATTAATGATCAAACATACTAGTAGCTCATTTAAATGTTATTTAATAGATGCATATACTACCCTGGCAAAGATAATTTAAGAGCCCTGAGATTAAGTTGCTATACTGACTGGAGGCTGTGCTTCTTATCTCTGGAGTACAGTATAAAATGGCTTGAAAGGAGGAATCATCATGGATTAAGGCTGAGAGCAGATTAAGTATATACAAGGGTTCTTGGGGCTTGCCTTGATGGTTTAAGCCATGTCTCTGTCATCTAAAGCTTATACAGGGCATAAGTTAACTTCTAGCTTAAACATGCACATCTCTCATACCTGTTTGAATAGAAGGAGTAAATGTGCCCAAATAAGAAGAGCAGAACACCATTGTGAAATGTATTTTTCATTTCACTGGGAGCAGAAAAAACTATCATTTGCTAGTTATCAAATGTATTCTTGGAAACAACAGGAGGTATTCAAGCTTTTCCACTGAGGACAAAAACATACTTTGTGTGTCAACAAAAGAAAGGTTTGACTATGCCTTTTCATTCTTATCCCATTTAGACCAAAGGGGAAATCAGTGAAAGCAGAGCCATATGTGGCTGTGGCACAGGACGTTGAAGAGCAGAAAGCTCATTCATCGATCCAGTAAAGATACCACAATCGCTTTCTGCACACTGTGGTTTGCAATCAGAAGCCAGCCTCTCTCTCCAGCATGAATTAGTCTTTCTAGATGTCCAAAATAAATCTCCTTATGGGAAGTGAATATTGGCACTGAATATTCTCTTTTATAAAAGAAATGGTAGTTACATTCAGATCCACATGGCCTCTCAGAACTATCTTTAGCATTTTTAACAGCTGTAAATCTTTTGAGCTTGGATTTTCTTCCAAATCTCTAGAAGAAGCTAGATTTCATTAGTAGTTGTTACAGTGCACAATGAGAAATCAACTGAACTTTAGACAGACTGGACCTTAAGAAAAGCAACTCAGCAGTTGCAATAATTTTTTTTTACAGAAAAGAACTATTGAATCATCTAATCCTAGAACAGTTTGCTAGATAGGAAGAGCATGCTTACAGCATTGCCTTTACTCCTTTTTCCTATTACTCACCTGCCCACTGCATTAGCTGTTCCTGCTACGTTTTCTTGTTCCAGTGTGCCATTTTCTATTGTGCTTATTAACACAGAAATATGAAAATGTGCCAGTGGTTAAGAGCTGACTTGGACACCATTTCCATCTTGTTCCACATTGCTGCTATGAGTCACCTACACCTAAGCATACAAAAAAATTTTTCACACACTTTTGCCCATACTGGTTGAAAGCATCATAAAGCTTGAAAATGCACACCAAAACAATTATGACTTCAGATGTAATGATGAAACATCAATCAATAATGTGTTAATTTGTCCTTCTTTGTAGTGTAGCTCAACTTTAAGGGCCTTTCTGCATGTTAGGCATTCATACGACGATTGCGTTTTTATTACTTCTATTTTGCACATTGCTCAGCTTTGTTGTAAAATTGCCAATCTATATCCCTAAAGTTGCCCATATTGTTTCCCTGTGTTCTCAGGGGCTAAGCACAAGTACAATCAAATGTCCTTGGAGTAGTATCTCTCTCCCACTCCAAGCCCCAGCAGAGCTTCAGGGAGCTGTTACTAAGAGCAGAGGAGAGAACCAAAGGTTTGAAAAACAAGAAGACTTTCTTTAAAAAAGCAAAAGAAAAGCAGAGGTGCAATCAGTGATGACTAACTCATCTCCAGTACTGTATTTCTGAACATTGCTCTTCTTATATCATGTTTTGGTATTTACTCATCTGGCTTTTCCAGATCACACGTAGAAGGGGCTTTTTACAGGAAGGACCAGCTTTGTCTTTGTGGCAGCTAATGTTTATTGGTGTGGCTTGTATTTTTTCAGTTCAACAACATGTTGCTATACTGTGTCCCCAAATTCAGCTTAGTGGGATCTAAGTTCTCTGTTCGGACAAGAGTTGGTATTGATGGCATGAAGATTGTGGAAACACACAATGAAGAATACCCATACACGTTCCAAGTGTCTGGAAAAGAGCGAACTTTGGAGTTGCAGGCGAGGTAAGAGACATGAAAATTGAGATTTTATTTCTAGCATAGTGGTACTTCAGTGTAAACTTGAAAGAAGTAATGTCCTAGACTAAAGATTGGGCTAAATCAGTTTTGTAGTTGGGATGTATCAGTGCTCCTACAGCTCCTTGTTGAAGTGCTACATGCCTGAGTATAGAAATGGAGATAGAAATTATATTTTGCCTTAGTCCACCATCCTCTTAACTTTTGTGTACCACAGGCTGAGAGGAAGATGCACGCATATTAAGCTTCCTGCACAGTACTAGCTCTGTGATTATGTTTGCAAGTGAGCTAAAAGACAAGCTGCACAAGGGAAGACAACACTCTTTTTTCTGGATCTCTGCCCAGTCTAAGTGGAGGTGATACATGTGAAGGTGGTGGTTAGGATTGTCTCAGAAGTTTTGAGTGCTGGAAAGATCAGAGACATGAAGAAATCCCAGAGTAACTTTGGGAAAGAACAAAGCAGCTTGCGGTATTTGACTAGTGGAGTAAGAAAATCTTGCCTGTAGAATAAAAACTCTACTAAATTTAGTTAATGTTGTTTATTACATGTAGGTTGCAATGTTTTGGTTTACTGCAATAATGCTTTAGCAGTCATGTTTGCTTAGTTCATTTAGTGCACTATGGGACCTTTATTCACTTGGGGCGGGGGGAGCTTTTGTAAGATCCATTCCATGGTACACAGACTTTTCTTTCTTTTCAAGGACATTCATAAAAATGCATCATTTGTGTTTATTATACATGCCAAACCTTCTTCACAGCCCCATCCAGTATACTCTTCATATGTGATAGATAATATCTTCATGTTCCCCATAAAAAGTGCATTAGCTGCAATGCTAAGCTTGCCCAAAGGATTTCTTTTACCAGAAGAATTAGTATTTGTTTACTTTCTCATTCCACTGGAGTGCACATTGATGTTTGTGGTTAATAAGGTGCATTTCATTATATAGAAGTTTGCTTCCTGTTGTGCTCATACAGTGATTACTCCATCTCCATTGAGGAATTGAACTTAATGTTTGATTAAATCAATACGATGAACCATTTAGTTTCTCACATCTGTCTGAAAAGAGCCTTGCAAGTCTCTAAGAAACCAGGAAAAGTTTTTATTGGCTTTATGACTTTGGCAATAGAGATTTTTTTAGACTAACTGCATTATGTAACATTTAAAAAGTAGTTAGGTACATACAACATAACCATCCACATGGGTTGTTGAACCATGCACGGTTGTGTTGTGTGAACGCAGCCTCACAAACTATGGTTTGTTATCCACAAACCCAACTTGAAGTGTGCGTTGTTGCATTGTGTTACTCCAATCAGTATGACGCAAGAGGAATATTGATAAAGGTTATGGTATAGATGCTTTTCACAAACAGGACTTTAGGCCTGTTCATTTGTCACTTTCCCATTAAGAGCAATACTGAAATGCAGCATGTCCCAGACTTGCTGCTTCCTTCCCAGCCTTTATCCTGCTTCTCTTGATGTGCTTAGAATGTAATGTCAGCTAAAAGATTCCCAGATATTAATATTGCAGAAAAATCCCCAATGTTAATATTGCACAAAACCTTGAGAGGTCTCTGTTGATATGCATCAATTCTACCCAACATGCACAAAGTAAAGCATTAGTTTATGTGTTAGACAGAGAGTTCAGTTCTGTAATACAACTATGTCTTCACAAATGACTTCACATTGTGTTTTGCCAAAAATATTAGCCATAGTTTTAAATACTAAGTTCAGATGAAATGTTAAGCTAAGGGCAAAGGGGAAGGAGCTCTGAGAAATTCACATGTAAGTGCAATAGAATAATCTGTGAAGACTAAATAGAGTTTTCTTTCATACACGCACTACTATAGACATAATTGCATGTCATTCTTTGAAATCTCCTTATAAGTATCTACTCTTGGAGCAGAGGGGAAGCCTAGTATTGGAAATCATATCATGATTTCAGAGTGTCTTTGACATCATATTTTAACATAAATTTAATTCTGAGCCATTAAAACATACCAGGTTTTGAAGACAGGACCCCCCCCCCCACACCTTTTTCTTTTGAGTAGTCTTTTTCCATTATTCTGACTGTAGCCTTTTCTGCTAAGGTTTCTGTTGCAGTGAATTCAGAGTTAGGGGTTTCTTTAGAAAGTTGAAACTTAAATGATTGGAAAGTTTTAACATTTGCTCAGCTTGGTTTTAACTATTTTCTCCAACTGTGTTTCTTAGTTCAGAACAAGACAAAGAAGAATGGATAAAGGTAAATGTGCCTGCCTTATTAAATGCCACTTTGTTTCCTGCAATGGGCTGACAGTACTATTCTGTTGGAATTTTCCTTATTTTTTGTGATTCCTTCAAAATTAAACCTTGTAGCATTTAAAAGTTAACTAATAAGGTTAATTCCTAGTTATCCAATTGTTAGTTTTTCTAATGGTAATTAGTTACTATTACCTGGCATGCTTCTGTCTCTCCATGACTTCTTTCAATTTGTCATTCAGTGGTTTAGACCATGCCAGGATTAAATTTTAGGTATGATAACCCTAATCAATTTTATTCATTCCAGGCTCTTCAGAGTACTATAGATGCTTTTCAGCAGAGGAATGAAACATTCAGAAATGCTATAGCAAAAGAATATGAGGACATGCCTATTGAAGTTTCTGTAAGTTGGGTGCCTGAACCCTTTGGGTTGGGTATTTTTGTGGTTGCTTATGCAATGATGTTCACACTAGAAATGCCGGTTGCCGATTCACACAGTACCTTTAGTTATACGTGAATATGCTCTTTCCCCATGTAGATGTTCAAATGGGCTAATTTTCATTATCATTATCATGCCTTCAGTGAACATGATGCTTTACAGAATGCTAGAGAAAGGTCATAAAATCTATAATTTGTTACAATGAGGAGAGGAAAAGGAGGGAAGTGAAAATAGAGGGAAACGGAGGAAGAATATGCAATGATTTAGTTACAGGTAGGGCTAGGGTGTTGTGTCTTCTTGGAAAAGGTAGACTTTGGGGAGGAATTATCTCTGCATCCTTTTCCCCACACCATCCTGTTCCTTCTGCTTTTCCTTCTGCCATTACACTTTATGTGGAATACCTTACTCAGTTTTGTATGAAGTACATTTTTTCCCAGAAAAATGATTAGAGAACCCTGGTTCACTTGCTCTCACTTGTGGGGCATGCTGGTTGCATCAGCATAAAATAGCCTTGGCAGTAGAACTCGTGTTGTGCATAGTCAGCTTGTTGTGTTGTGTGAGTCCAGGACACATGGGCTGTTGTAAGCTTGGGGTGATCTGTTACCCTGACAGGGTTTGTACAACACAAGGAGAGGGAAATCATGCTATTCCCCTGGCACACAGCTAACATACGCAAGGTGGCTAACAAATGTGCAGTCTCCCCTGCAACCTTGTGACTGCTATTCTTTCTATGAGCTAGTTTTTAGTTGTGTTCTTGGTCTTCATAAGCACATAAACAGAGCTGTGCTGGGTCAGACTAAAGGTCCATCTGGACTAGCATTCTAGTTAAACAATAGCCAGCTAAAGGCTTTGGAAAGCCAACAAGCAGCACTTGAGTAAAACAGGACCTTCTTGTATGTGTTCTTCAGCAGATTGCATAGTTCCTCTGAAACTGGAGATGATATATAGGCATCAAAATTAGTAGCCATTGATAGACTACGAATTACTGTCCACAAATTTGTCTAACTCTAATTTAATGTGGTTCAAGTGATTTCATATTCTATACTTTAACTGTGTACTGTTTGAAGAAGCTGTTCCTTCTAGTTCCACCATGCACATGGTGGGCATGTCATGAGCAGAGCCGGCTGGTGCCGGAGGTCAGACTAGATGGCCCGCGAGACCCCTTCTGACTCGCTCTGTTTCTATGTTTCTAGTTGTCTTGAACCTTCTACCACTCAGCTTCATTGGATAACTGGGATCTAATACTATGTGGTAGTGAAATCTACATTTCTGTATCACCTTTCTCTGTGTTATACCTTTTACAGCTCTGTCATGTTCTCCTTTACTTGTGCTTTTTTTCCTAAGCTAAACAACCCCATTTGTGACTTTGGTACACTCCACTGGGTAATCTGTACTCTGTCTGAGTAAATAATCTAGGAAATTATGGTTCTAGGATGGCTTCCAGAAAGGCTTAATTAATGGTTGTGTAAAATGTTTCTTCACATACATGGAATGAAAGGTGGGAGCTACTCCTAGGAAGAAGGAGGTTTAAAACCCCTGTGAGCAGAGAGAATATTGTACATGGCACTTTGAATCCTTGCTATGATCAGAACTTATTCTTGTGTTATTCCAGATACCATGCTAAGAATCATAGTTATAACTGTCCTGCTTGCAGTTTTGTTTCCTGCTGTTTCATACTTTGTGAAGGTCATGACTGTGTGTGTGTACAAAATGATCACTATGTGAAAGTTAGTATTTTACTAAGAAGGCAGGCAAATGGGACGTTCATTGTGCCTTCATTGTTTGTCTTTTCCCTCCACCATTATGACACTTTTCTTCATTTCTATTAAAAATGTCTACCTGTCAAGCTACATTTCTTTTTCAATTTAGCATTGTTACTGCTCTTTTCAAAACTTAATTCAAACAGTGCATATTTCTAGGGAAAATGAGCAAGCATATAGGGAAATGCAAAAAGCTGAATGGTGGTTTGATAAGAGTGGAAGGATATAAGCACAGTCATAGCCTTTTCTTTGTTCATTAACAATAGTGATACATTTCTTGTGGCTGAAAACAGTTTTAGATTAATTACTGTAATATAAAACAATTTCTTTCATGGTTTATTATGTTCCCTTTAACACAATGAGATCTGTAATGATTCTAATTGATCACTTCTTTTGAAGAAGTGAACAATGCACTGCTTTTCTGGCTTGGATTCTACTGCAGCTGTGATCCAAGCATGATGCATGGGTATCATTAAATTCTTAGTTCATTTCTCTTGACCTCCTTCCCCACAGACACCTTTTGTAATGTCTGGGCATTAAAATCTGTTACTTTCCTCAGCTTTCACTGGTTACTAGCAGCAGAGAGGGGGAAGTACTGACCATTGGAATCAGGACATGGTCACACTGAAGTGCTAGACATTCAGCTGTCGTTTTCTGTGACATTCAGAAGTTTAAAGTCTAAACAAGCCATTTAGATATCAGAATAACATCTACTGTGCTGCTCCCTTTCCAAAGCACAGAAGTAGTCATTCTCTGTGCTAACAATGCTTCACATTTTGTTCTTCTTTCCTCTTCAGACTGCTGAACTTGGGAAGAGAGCACCAAGATGGATTCGAGACAATGAAGTCACCATGTGCATGAAATGCAAGGAGTCCTTCAATGCACTGACAAGGAGGAGGCATCATTGCCGGGCATGTGGGCATGTAAGTACGAAGCCACATCTGCTAGGTGTTGGGCACAGGCATCAGGGCAAGGTGCCAGAATGTGCACAAGCAGTCTGTAGCTTTGATGGGAATTCAGGCTCAGACAATGAAGACGAGATTGTTGTGGAATTCAGCAAGCTCCAGTATCAGATCATGGTCAGGGAATGTCTGGGGAGAAAGGAGAGGAGTTAGTCCAGACCAATGGACGTGACAGCCAACTGGCCTGAGGGAATGGGGAGAAAGCACAACAGGAGGTAGAGCTGACAGCCAGGGCTGCCAAGAGCCCCGGTCTACCAACAACAGGTCTAGAGGAGGCATTGAGCAGCTGGGCAGGTCTCACAGTAGGAACTGAGCAGTCCATCTGACCTAGAGGCCCCTCGAGGAAATGATGCTGGTTGCTGGGAGACTGCATAGACAAGAAATTCAGTTAACTGAGAAATGAGAAGAATGCAGGAGGGCTAGGTTTCACAGCGCCCTTCCTGCTGGGATGCACAGATGAAAAGGATATGGAATGGGGGACTGAGGGATGTTAGAGAGGGCTCAACACTTCACTCTGGGTAAACTCAGATACATAATGATAAAGCCTTGTGGAAAGAAATTCTGGAGTAGCATGCTTACTCAGGAGGAGAAGTGCACCTCACAACACTAGTTTGCAAATAGATACTGCAGCAGTCAGATGTTTGTTCGGTAACACCATCTGCTGGTGGCTTTTAAATGCTGCTTTATTGCAGTTGATGCTGATCAAAACTGAACCCCCTTGTGGAGAACTTTGGAAAATCTTCATACAATTCTTTAAGTACTGTATGATTTAGTTCATACTGGATCCTGCTTTACTGCCTTAGTGACAATGATCCTAAAATAGATACTATATGTTTTTTCTTTTCTGAGCTATCATTCATATCTGGCCCTCCAGCTGATACTTTAAGACACATCCAGCTCATCTTAACTTGCCTTGGACATGTTAATGTGCCTGTTAAAACCTTTATTACAGTGCCCTGCAAAAGCATTCTCCAGCACTCATTTGACTTTTCCACACTTTCTTGTGTTACAGCCTGGAATTGAAATGAATTTAATTGCCATTGTTACAGTTTGTACTCAAGATAACACTACGACGGTGCAAAATATTTTTTATTGTGGCAGAGAAATTAAGTAACCACATGCCAGAGCTCAAATGGATTGTGAATCTATGGCAATCTTTGGCTTGTTTATTTGAGTGCTCTATGCTACAAGGATTTTGATCTGCTGTACTTCTGTATCTGGTGTCTGTACCTCTATCCAATATTTTAAATATTTTCACCTGCAGAATTCTCTTTCCCCACCCCACCCATTTTCATCCTTTGTTGCAAAATTTTCTCCCTCTCTCAAATGAGCTTTTGGATCCCAGAATCAATCTTCAGTTGAAAAAGGAATTCACATGCTAGTAACAAAGTGGGAAAAACAATGGTATCTCACACTTCCAAGTAATATTTAAGCCCCAACAAATGTTATGTTTGCATCCAGCTTCAGGGATCTTGGGTTATGTTGGTTTATGAGGGGGCAGGATTACTGTGTGGAGGATCCTGATTTGAAACAAGAATAGATGGCATTCAGTTTTTGTTGCTAGAAAAACTCAAAAGTTACAAATTTCATATACCATGACATTTTCCTAACTAATATAAGCATTCCCTTCCTCTTTAGGTGGTTTGCTGGAAATGTTCTGATTACAAAGCTCATCTTGATTATGATAGTGGTAAACTGAACAAGGTTTGTAAAGACTGCTACCATATTATAACAGGGTGCACAGACAGTGAAGAAAAGAAAAAGAGAGGAATCTTAGAGGTATGACATTTAAATATCTTTTCCATGTTTAGTAAACTATGTTCTATTTTGTTTATGTTGTTGCATATTTCATAGAAATGTAGCTTTGTTGGATGTTTTCATGCAGTAATGTCTTTTGGATTGACCTTGGTACTACAAATTGTAGTCTAGATCTATTTGTATACAGTCAGACCTCCACTGTGTGCAGAATGACCCCGTAATGGTCAGAGCTTGCTGTTTTATTCATATCTTCCTTATGAGATCCTTCGGGCAGCTGGTTTGGCCACTATCTGAACAGAATGCTGGACTAGATGTGCCCTTGGTCTGATTCAGCATAGGTGTTCTTGTATTCTTATTTCACTGCAAAACATTTTCTGTTAATGCTTTATGGCAGCATGCAGGACACTGGCAGGCAATCCATGTGGTGAGCTCATTGATGGGCTTTTTCTTTTGTGTGGAGGTGCCACCAAGTAGACGCAATTTTTAACTAGCCCACATTTGAAATCATCTTTGTGTCAGAGCAGATCTAGATGGCTAGAACTACTTAAGCCATGGTCCCTCAGCCACAGCAATCTACCTGTCGAACGTGACACACTGAATAGGGCAATATGAGAGCCTGTGGGGTCTAGTGGTGAAGAATGCAGGACTGGGACTCAAGCAACCTGGCTTCTAGTCACTGCTTGGCCATGGAGCCAACTGGGTGACTTTGGACCAGTCACAGACTCTTAGCCCAACCTACCACACAGGGTGGTTGTTGTGGGGACAAGATCTAGAGCAGGAGGAAGAGAATGATGTAAGCCACTTTGAGTTCCTTCGAAGGAAAAAAAGATGAGATATAAAAACTCATAATTCAATAAATTCATAGGATCACTGCTGTAGGGAGCAGGTGCATTGCAGCTGCAGAAGAGCCTTCTGCAACAGATTCTGGGGACAGATTTGAACCAGACGAGGAAGGGGAGATGGAATTCCTGGCCAAAATGCTAAGGCCACTTGAGACAAGCTGTGAAGTAGCTTCGGATACTGAGGGAAACTACAGTGAACCTGTTAATAAGGAAAAGGGCGGAACAGGTGGAACTAATCTCAGAGTCAGGTGTCAGTTAAAGAGGATGGGCCAACTAAGAAGTGTCATGCGTTGTCAGCAGTAAGAGGATCCACAGTAAAGGCAAAATATTGAGTTGAATTTAGGAGGAAGGAGAAGCATACTGTTTGGAATCAGCTACTTACCATTTGAGGTCACACTTGTTCATGGTGAATCACTTGAAATCTAACTGTTTTTGTTTCTGCAATATGCTTAATTTGTACTTTGTTCTAGTCAGAATTTATTTTATTTATTTATTTTTCGATTTATATCCTGCCATTTTCCTACAAAGGGCTCAAGGCAGCTTACACCATTCTCCTCCATCTTATCCCCACAACAACAACCCTGTGAGGTAGGTTGGGCTGAGAGTCTGTGACTGGCCCAAAGTCACCCAGTTGGCTCCATGGCTGAGTGGGGACTAGAACCCTGGTTGGCTGAGTCCCAGTCCCGCACTCTTAACCACTACACCACACTGGCTGTTTGTCAGTATATCTTTGTCAAAATGCCTTTGTCAGTATATCTCAATGGATGGGAAGAGAGAGGGACAGCCAATGACAGCTGGGATCTTAAATAGACATATTTTTGGATGATAAAACTAGGGCAAGAGGAGATGAAGGAAAAGTGACATTATTTAGTTGGGATGAGGCAAAGATTGGTTGACCACCATTGACTAAACACAAACTCAAACCCAGCAGAGTAGTAGAATCCTGATTGAACTGAAGCTCGCCACATTTTTTTTCTTTGTTAGTAGTTCTGTAAGAGTGCCATTTTCCCTTTATCTTTCTGTTTCAGCTAAGTAGTGCCTATTTCGTTATCAGATATTTATAGCAAATACAAGAGTATCTTGTCCGAGTGTTCATTCTTTCTAAAACTTGAATTGCTTTCATACCATGTTATTTTGGCAAACAGTAAAATGGTGATTCAGCAAACATGGTGCCTTTATACACCTAGTTCAACTTGACATTTGCTATGCTTTGATTTTTAACAAATTATTCATCTCTGAGGAACTGTGTTCTACCTATACTGAGCTATTAGACTTCTCTGAAAGAAAATATTTGTTTGCATTCATACAGATTGAATCTGCAGAAGTATCTGGGAACAGTGTGATATGTAGTTTTCTCCAATATTTGGAAAAATCCAAGACTTGGCAAAAGGCTTGGTGTGTGATTCCGAAACAGGAAGCCCTTGTATTGTATATGTATGGTGCTCCACAGGTATGTAAAGGAGATGTGTAGGAGAAAACCAGATTACAATAAAATACCCTGGTAACTTGATAGCATTCATAAAAAATGGAATATTGTACTTTCCACTTACTGACTTGCAAACCATCTTTCATGCATTCTGTCCCATTTCCTTCCTCCTGTATATGTACAAGAAAAGTTTGGTACATAGAAATAAGAGCTGACTGTGCAGACCATGGTATTATTCTGCTTCTCTTTTTTGCCAGGGGTTGTGAAAGGATGGGAAGGGATGAGTTTTGTTCCTCCTTTTGATCTGATAGAATGTTTTCTCCATTTCCGCACCTTTCTTTTCCCTTAGGTCAATGTGTGGTCTGTAGTTTCCTTCTTCTAGGCCCACTATACTGTACCTTTTCATTTTGCCCCTATTCATGGGAGGTTTCATGTATATGAGAGAGGAGACTGAAAGCATCAGGTCATTCTTTTTTAGAACTCTTGTGTTCAATTTTACAGTTTTAAAATGTAAAGTAATGTGAGTTTTGTAATTAATTGTGAAATTTTTGTCCTCTGCCTACTGCCAAATCTGGAAGTTATTTTAGGATATTATTTCTGTTTGCTTAGGATGTAAAAGCACTGGCTACTATTCCGTTGTTGGGATACACAGTAGATGACACTCCAAGAAGTGCTGATCTGCCACACAGTTTCAAATTGACTCAGTCCAAGTCTGTGCACAGCTTTGCTGCCGACAATGAGGAACTGAAGCAGAAATGGTTAAAGGTAATTCTTTTGGCTGTCAAAGGTGAAACACCAGACTGCACAAGTGATTTGCGGGTGAGTTTGGAGGATCAGCATGAAAGCTCTGCAAAACTGGAATCTGAAACTTAACACAACAAATGGTCTGTTAAGATATATTTTTTTGCACTCAAACTTGGGGTGACACTACTTCTGAAAACAACAAGAAAGAAGCCAGCCTTCCTAATTCTACCATGTTTCTGAGCACTTTATGTTGAAAAGAAACCAAGTTCATCTTTTTAGAGAAACTTTTATTATATTTGTTGTTTCAATAAAATTAATGTACAGAGGCATTTCACATTTTCTTTTGATTAAATGAATGTCTTCATCCAAAAGTTGCCAATATAACTGTACTACAACTCTTCTGAAGAAATCACATCATATGAAATGAAAGCTACTGAAGAAGAAATGGCTGGTTTTCATTATGATGTCAATACTAGTATATCTTAGTTTCTTTCTCAGATTCATAGTTGTGTGTTTAAAAGATATACCTCTAGGTTGCCAAAATAGATGAGTATTGGAACGTAAAGACAGTTTGGTTTATTGTATCTAAATTTTAGCTATTTACACTGACTTGTACATAGATTCTACCAATTTATGTTTGAGAACAAAATATCCAGAATGACTAAAATTTCAAATTATTAAAATTCGTTCCTTTGAGTTTTAAAATGTATTAAACAAGGAGTACAGTATATACTATTTGCAGGGTATGCTATTAGAGTGAAAATGTACTGTATTTAATTTTGATTTGACTTAATGATGTTAGGGTCATGCTAGCCTGATTTATTTTAAGATAAAGCATGTATCCTCCTGAACATTTAAGAAGGGGGTTCTAAATTAAAAGCAACTAGTGACTTGTTTATATCTAATGGTAATGATATTTTTATACATTAATATAAAGCTTAAAAAGTAGCAGTAATTCAGATGGCATGTAATGGATATGTGAGTTTTAGCTGTGTTTTGAAAATAATTTCTCAGTCCTGTGCCTGTTACCTTTGGAAGGTGGTGCTACCTTTTTAAAATTACAAGTGCTTCAGTAATTAATAGCCTGATCTTAAATGATCATTCGTGGTCATGTACTTTGCCTTTACAGCTGGTCAGTAACACCCAGACCTTAAAATTATGGTTCAGTTTGGGCAACATGCCAATTCATGGCTAAGAAGGATTAAATATCGTTAGTGATACTGGAATGGAGTAGCCATGCTTTGTGACTGGCCAGCAAAAACACGATCAAGCCATGCTTTGTGCAGACTGTAGCTTGACAAGATGCTTTAAACCTACAAATCTTACTTAAAGTCCCATTTCTCTGCCTTCGGAAGCTACTGCATTGAGAGAGTTAGAGGACTGAGCATTCAGAAGATGAGAACCAGCAAGCTTCTTTTAAAAAAACTATTCGTACATTTAGAAGCCCAAACCATGTTTTTGCTTCTAAACTTTCATTTGCAGAAGCCATGATTTGACATAAGTAATTAAACCTTTGTAACTTTCAGAAATCACACAGATGTTACAATAGTTAATTATACGATATTGACTGTATTTGCATTCCACACCTCTAAAATAAGTGACACATCAACCATTGATACCTGTGAACCCAGTATCTGGATTATTATACACTGTATAGTATGAGATGTATGCTGAGTACTAATTGTGTGATACTGGGAATGGAGGGGGTTAATTTGTAAACCTGTGTGTTTGAATCTTACTTCAGTATGTGAAAGGTTTCTTAGCTAAGTATATATTACACTGCAATCCTGCATTTGTTTACCTGGGAGAAAGCCCCGTTGATTTCAGTGGGACCAACTTCTGAAAAGACAAGTGTAAGAGTGCATTACCAATTGAATGTCACACTGTTGAGCTAATTCATCAGAATAGCAATTTTATTGCAATCTGCTAATTATTCAAAACAACCTTTTCACATTTGGGATGGTATATGTGCAATAACTTTTGAGAACAATTTTGCCAAGTAGAAATCCAAATTTAATTTCCAGCATCTGACTGAAAAAACATACACAACTAGTTGAAGTATTCTTTGCTAAATAGCCACAATTTATCGATACAAAATGAGAAAATTCTACTAAAAGGTCTTCTAGAGATGTGTCCACATTCTGAACATCACAGTTTAAAAACTAGCAATGCTTTATTGATGTTTTGGTTTAAGCTTCTTTTAACTTTTGCTAAGGCTATACATTCTAGACAGGTATGCTTAATCAGTAGGTAGATAAATGAGAAACAGAATGTTCAGGGTGATATGTGTTGGCTTAAGAACATAAAAGACTGTGTCAACTGTCTAGAGAGCTTCAGCTCCAGGGTGGTTTAGAAATTAATTAAATAATTGCTCTGATTCATCATGGAACTTACTCAAAGGCCAGTCTAGCCTAGCATTTTGTTCCCATAGTTGTCACAGGATGCTGTGCTAAACCCACAAGCAGAACATGAGTGTAATAGCATTCTCCTGCTTATATGCCCCAGCAGCTGGTTTCGAGAGCTGTGCCGCCTCTGATTTTGGAAGTAATATGTAGCCGTCATGACTCGTATGCATGGATAGCCTTATCCTCTATGAACTTGACTAATGCCCTTTTAGTGCCACCCAAAGTGTAGCCATCACTACATCCTGCAGTAACGGATTCCACAGTCTGCATTGGCCCACTAATATGCTACCTTTCAGCTTCACGGGATGGCCCTGCGCTCTAGTGTTATATAAGGGGGAGAGAAGCTACCTAGCTTTCTTCACACCATGCATAATTTTATACACCTCTGTCATGTTCTTCCATTATTCACCTTTTTATGAACTACAAAGCAGCAAACTGTTCTTCACAGGGGAGTTGCTCCATTCCCTGCATTGTTCTGGTAGCCCTTCTTTGCACTTCTACAGTTCTACAATATACTATTTTGCGTAATGATTACCAGAATGGTACACAGTATTCCAAATGTGGTTGCACCATGAATGTGTATAAAGGCATTAATATATGGCAGTTTTATTTTTTATTCCAGCAGATGTGAAACCAACCAGCAAGTATCTTATCAAGTGCTTGAATTATGTAGTAGTAGTGTGGTAAATTAAATCAACATTTTCTTTAGCAGAGACTGACCTGTGGCAGTTGGCAAGCTTTCTCCTCTGTGGTTACTCTAAAAATGTCATGCCAGTTGCTGTTGCCTGCATTTCTGCATGTAGCACAAAGATAAACTAGTCAAGATGAAAGAGCTTATTCTGTGTTTTTAGAAAAAAATAATTTTGAGAGCACAGAGAAATTGCTGCTGTGGTTTGTAGGTCTTTACTTGAACAGTGGGGAATTTTACCATATTTAAAGCAAAGATTCTTTAACCATCCCTGAGTATCCATTTAAGACATGAATTTTTAGTTTCAAGAGATTAATTTTACTGTATTTTTAAACGATATAAGTAAGGGAAGAAACAATCACTTTTTACTACTTGTGATTTCTAAGCTTTTTGAATACCATCTAAAGACTTGCATCCACGGGAGCTTCCCAACTGCATCTGAAGGGAAAAACCAGCACCAGTGCACATACATCATGGATTCCTTTGCCAATTGAATATACACTTTCCTGCATGCAGTTTTTCTGACACAAAATATATACCCCCATCTTCCTTCTGTAATAAACATGAATGGTGTCTGGTTTTTTGTTCTGGGAATCTTGCCTGAAAGAATGCTTCTTTTATCAGTACTCATGACCTTGCAGGATTCACATTGTTCTCAGTTATTCCATATATGAATTCTGCTACATTAGAGTAATTTATTGATGGGAGGAGGAGAAGTCAAGCACCACCACCACCACCACCACTACTACATTAATATCCTGCCTTTTTTGTGAGGAACCCAAAGTGGCTTATGGGCTGAGAGTCTGTGACAGGCTCAGAGTCATCCTGTGAACTTCACAGCCAAGTGGGGACTAGAACCGCAATTGCCCAAGTCCACAGCCCAGCGTTTGGCTCTCAGATTTTCTTATCCCTCCCAAATTGCAGGGGTGGCATGCAAAGTGGGATCATTTCTAATGATAAATAGCATCTAGTTAGCACCTCAGCGTAAATTTCTGTGAGCATTTCCTGTGACGTTAAGAATCCTAAGCACACTGGCACAGAAGCTAGTTTCATGGAACTCAAATGAGATTTGCTTCCGTGTCATATATTAATAGGGTTGGGGTCCTCAGACTCCTATGTAAAGCACAGCTAATGATTACTTGTAATGAATATGAGGTAAGAAATTATTATCCAAGTTCCTTACCCTGTCCTGAGTACTAAGCATTTTAAGGCACAGGTATTTTTATTATTCTCCTATAGTTTGAAGGATGGAGGAAAGCCCTTTCTTGAAACTGGTTCTTCCCAGGCCATTAGTAACACAGCCAGATCATTTGCTGTTAACTTTCCCAAGACTTACTCATTCTAAGGAGGTCAAAGTTGTGTAACTGGGAGATACTAGATTGTGAATTTAGCTCTATATTTATGACATGTTGGCCTTTTAACTGAGTATATTATTCCATTTTTCTTTAACTGATTCTCCATCGACTGGTTCAATCTGGAGTTGGCATGCAACGCAATTCAGTAATGCAGGAATTTGTGTGTGGTTCTTTGCACATGTTGCAAACCAACTTAACAGTTGTCCCAAGAGGACAGCCAGCATTTCAGAACTAAATCTCCAATCCTGTTCTTTTTAGCATAACTTTTGGTTTAGTTTACATAATTGCCATAGGTTCATGCTTTTAAAAAAAGGAAGGCAAGTCTGTTGACAGAAAACCTATTGTGAGATATTAAAGGTATGAAATTCAATGAGTTTTTAAAATGAAAGGGATTGAAAGGCACATGAAAAGATAAAGTCAAAAATGGTTCAGCTGCGTATGTACTTCTAGAAACAATAAAAGCTTAAGTAGGATGCTTAAAATGTCTTATTTGTTAAAAGATCATTCAGTTTCTGTGAAAAGAATTTGGATAGTTGTATAAATTTGAGTTTGTGCTCGTCATGTGAATTTTACTTGGATTAATGTTTACTGCTATTTTTGATATTTGAGCTGAACAGTCATTGTGATCATATGTGGCTGGTATATGTGGAAAGCTAACTTGCTATAAAGCATGGCTAACACCAGGGAGAACCAGTCTTGTGAATGCAGCCCCTCATTTCCCCTCCTACTTGTTAAGCACTTTGTATTGATATGAACTGCAATTAAGGGACTGACAAGGGTTTCTATCAACTGCAGGAACTGAAACCCACACGCCAACTGATTGCAGAGTAGAGCACTCATAATAAGTCTAGGGATGTGTACAAACATCCATAAAATGAGAAGCCACTATTTTGAAGCACAATCCTCATATTCTTGTCAGATACCAGATCAGGCTTGGAGGAGATTAATGTTTCTGGTTTCCAGGAAAAGCCACCTGCACACAATGATTAGTTGATGCCTTTAAATTCATGACCCGTCCTCCTCCTCCTCACTACTTCCCATAAATGTTTTACAGCATTTAACAAAGTATTTTCATTATGGTGTTTGCTTCAGGTTTTCAGAAGCAATGAATGAACTTAGTCTTGAATAGCACTTAAATAAAATGGCAAAAATGTGGAGATGTGCTTGTAGCATGGATCAAAGAGAAGACTAACAACAGAATTAGTGATGGAATTGCTGCCAAGTAAGAAATACTGTGAACCGAGGAAAACCCAGTAAGTCCAGATTTTTATGATAGGCTTTGCACAATCCAGCCGTCACAATGGGCACCACATGTGCAATGGGATGTGTACACAGAGCTGTCTTCTTCTTTGCACTGGATGGAGAGAAGCTTACACATACTGTAGCTTCATGTTTATAGTGTGGCCCACATGAAGATCTTGTTCAAGCTCTAGGTAAGGGCAATGTATCAATATGAATGAACAAATCACAGTTAGGGTTTACAATACGTCCATGCATCTGCCAGAAACTGGGTTTTACCAGTCCTGTAGAAAAATAATGTTAATTTTAGGGCATGCTGTGAGTCATTTCTCCTTGCAATAGAAGTATGTGCATGATTATGTAACACAAGAAATCTGGATCCAGTCTAGTGTAACCAATCTTAGCTACAGTTCTAAAGCAATGTTTACAAGTTGAAGAACTTAAACTGTCTGTACAATTTGCCCTTGATGTGGATCATGGTGATGAGTCTCTTGCTTTCATTTCTATAAGCAACCTTAGCAAAATTAAGAAGGAAAGGAGATCATCAGTGATTGAAGCACAAATTATGCGAAGTATTTTTTCTAGTTATTAGTTTTTTCCCTTCTTTGGTTCTAAGCACTGTAATTCAAGAGAAACTATGGGCAGAAGAAATGTGTTGGATTTATTTCTTATTTGATGGTAGAACAATTTGGCCAAGCAAACTGTAAGGTCTTAGCTTATACAAAGCAGTTCTTGGTAGAAATTCTCACTACCTATAACTACTTTGTCCAGTTCATCGTGAAAAACAAAAACATCAACATTTATAATTTGTGCAACTTATTTCTGGGATGGCTTGGTTTTGTTAGATTTTAAATGGATTACAGTGTACTTTTATTAGTGTAAAATACTAAGTGACAGGTGAACAGTGTGTATATTCATAAATTTTTAAATTTTAAATGCTCCTCTTGTAGCTAGTTTGCAGGATCTGCTCAATTTGTTCTGCTCTCCCAGCACTTCTTAACATCTGTATAAATTTGACTTTTTACCTAGTGCATTGTTTAATTAAATGGGTTTTGAAATTGTCAAATATGTATTACCAATTTGATCTGGTGCAGAGTTAATCCTTGCAGATGTATAAAATATTTGTGGTAAAACAATTAAGGAAAAGGATGGATTTTCTCATCAAATAGTATATGAGAGAACATAACTATAATGCTGTGTAGGAAAAGGGGAAAAACTATATCTACCTATACACTGCTGGAACAGATGCAAAATACCATGCAGTGTTCTACATAAAAGTCCTCACCCGCTTTTAATTTTAAGAAGTTCAGGTGGTAACAGACATAAGACAGGATATTGAAGAAAAGGAGCAAACAAGAGGTTAGATCCTGATCCTTAAGATCCATTGAAATCAGTTGTACTTGTGACTGATGTGTCTACTCTAAACTGGGAGCCAAGTCAGGCTGTATTACTTAAATTCCAAATTGCAAGATAAGGCACGTTTCCAATGATAATTGAGTAGAAACAGGGTAAGGCCTAGTTCAGTTATGGGCAACTTGCAGCCCTCCAGATGGTTTGACATAGATATTTCCCTTCATCCTTCACCATTTGCTAAACTGCCTAGAGCCGATTGTAGGGCCAGAAGCTGCCTGTTCCTGACCTAGTTCATGGTAGCAGAACCACATGTAGTATTTGGGAATATGCATTCAGTGCTTTCATTTAGCAACTGAATGAGGATTTTTGAGTTGCAACAATGTAACATTTTTAAACTTATACTTTTTTTGCTTTACCACAAATAGTTGGCAAAATGTAAAAAAGACATCGTTAAAGATTGTGAAAGTGGTTAGCTTTTCCATTTAATACTATGTACACAAATGTAAAATATTTGCAGATATGTGTATATATTTCTGTAACATATGTATATTTAGTCCATAAAGGTGGGAACTGGAATATTGTAAAATTACGCACTTTAATTCTTGTGAAACCTTTAAAAATTTGTATCCTGTAAAATAAAAGCATACTTAAATCAGTAATTATGTGGCTTTATCTTTATTTTTATCCCTGCCCATACTATGCTTAAGATTTTATCACATTAGTGTGGGCGACAAATTAAGAGTGAAATGCAGGTAATCCATTTGTTTCCCTAGAAGACATCATTAAAATATTTCGGTGGAAGAAATGGCAGTAGTGATTATAGGATACTGGAGGTTGCAATAAAATTTTATTAATGGTGCAGAAAGCAAAAATAGGAAAATTACAAAACTAAGAATCTTCCAAGTACATACATTTCAACCTCTGCATATCAGATGGGCAAGGTAGTTGCAGCTTTCACTATTGCTCTTTTCGGCTGTTTTATCTGAGTTTATTTGAAAGGGTTTGTTTAATATCGAACAGGTTTAAACCACTGACATCTCTGATCTCAATTATCTACTAGTAACCTGGTGGCCTTCAGAGGCATGTGAAAGGCAACTCCCAGAATTCCCAGCCAGCAAGAATACTGGGTGTTGCAATCCAAATGTGCCTGTAGGGCACAAGGTTGGGGAAGGCTGATCTAAGCATTTAGTTGTGCTCTGGATATGTGGACTTTGCCTGAGATGTCTCCATGTCCTCACCATCACTTGCAAGATGTGTAACCTAAGACTTCAGAATGTGTGAAATCTGCTGTTAGGGAAAGCTTGCTGAACTGGAGGGGCCGATTTATTCCTGGACTTAAAGTGTGCTTTTTGAGGCGTTTGGGATGAACCCCACGTGCAAAAGGAATAGGCAACAGCCCAGCTAGAAATGGTGTGTCAGTTGGGCTCATTCTCATATTTGATTCAAACTGCGAGGCATCTGCCAAGGATATTTATTAGTTCCATTACTATTTAATATTTGTATTACTACTTTAACAACTGATTTTCCCCCAAAGAGATGTTGAATAAGAATGACTCCAGCTTGGAATCAAGAAAACCTACAGGTATGGATTTTCTTTGCATGCCTTGAATTCCTTAAGGTGCAAGCATGCAATCTGAAATCTATTTTAAAACATGATTTCTGAAATGACTGTGCCTCAGTCTGGTAAAACATTCCCCTTGATATGCCAAATTGCCTATTCAAACATCTCTCCCATAGTATATAATCAATATGAAAAAAATGAAAAGTAGGAAACCCTTTACAATCTTATGACTCCAGTCAGTGAATTCCATAAAGTATAAGGACAGTATGGGCAGATGCCTTTTCAGGAGGAGTGTCCAACGTGCTCAAGGATCTGCCTTGGAGGTTTATCATCTCAGTGAGTATTCGGGCATAGGGACTGTCTGACAGCTACGAGGGAGCTTCATGGCCAGGTTCGGATGTGAGCCCAAGATAACACAGCTGCTTGTATTATACTGGCTTTCTTGGGAGTTCTTGTCTTCACCTTTTTTGAATGGGTTGCTGCTTTTACTTGGATGTCACTGCTTAGAAATGGCACTTGCATAGCTTCTATTTCCCAAGGGTTTCACAGTCTTTCAGCTATCTATCTTCTTTCTTCAGAAGATGGAGGTTGAGGCTGTGAGTCCCTCTGGTTTGCTCAAGGCCAGTCACCAGTCCATGCTACAGGTGGAGGGAGTACTCTCCAAGAAATCTCCAACTCACGATCCACTGGGTCACGATTCTCCAGTAGTCAGGCCCACCCATTCATATTTTGAGCAAGCATATCCAAGGGGGTATACTCTTTACGCTAACTCATTGACTCTACAATGTCTAGGTTGGTGTTACAGTAGTCAATATAGTCAAACTCACTGATGTCAAAAGTTACTTTGCTCCACTTCTTAAAGGTCCTTCTGCCATCTGGGGTTTCTACTACGAAGTTTTTGATGGCAAGCATGGGAAGTGTGATTTCCCGGTAGATCATTTCCATTCCCCAAGCCTGAATGAGTAAAAATGGAGTTGTTAGGCTACTGACAGGTTCACCCAGGTTTCAAAGGAGTACAGCACCAGTATTAGTTGGGGAAAACAGTAGCCATGCCAGTGGTAGAACAAAAACAAATAGACTGTAACCTAGGCAATTTAATCAGGAAGCATCCTCATTACTCCAAAATTACAAACCATTTCTCATAGGAATGCTAAGATCCATTATGGCAAGGAGTAACTGGTCTCAAATGTGTAAGACCAGCATGCAGGCCCTTAAGTTCAATGATTTCAGCAATCTTAACTGTACCTTTGTGCTAGACAGCTGCCCAGATGTGGAGTTATGGTGAAAGAAGCAATGCCCCGTCCAACTTATACCTGTAAACCAGGCTTGGGACACCTGTGGCCCTCCGGGGGATGTTGAGCCACAACTTCCATTATTACTGGCATACTGTCTGGGGCTGATAGAAGTTACATCCGGAGAGCCAAAGTGTCTCTAGCCCTGTGCTGAAGGTTCCAGTACTGCAGCTTGGATTAATGTGTTCTCTGACTCTGCCTGTTTCATTGTTCAAACTTTACCTTTTATGCTTATGTTTGCTCCAGAAATCAGTAGGAAGATCTGACTACAAAATAAGTTCCCTTTCAAAGTTCCGGTTGCCCTGGATTTATAAATTACAAAATTAATATGAATGAGTGAAGCTCGTTTGCCCCTTCTATAAGCTGTTTCCCGCACAGCTAAGATCCATTATTTATGAAGAGAGACATTCTACTGGGTGGTGCGTCATTTGCTGCAGACACCTCACCACGTGCTCCCAACTCCTAAGTCTACTGAACAAAACTGAGTAACCGGTCAACCATGGCCTTGTCTGAAAACTCCCATGGGCTTTTCATGGATTGGTTTCTCAGTGTGTGTGTCTCTGGGTATCATCCACATGCCTTTTGCAAATAGGGCATTTTGTTCTGTTTTATGGGGATAAATGACTTCACTTTTGGGGCTTAGAGCCCATTTCTGCCTTGCACTCAGTTTCTTGTCCAAGTCCCTGAATCACATCACTTTGCCTTCTGTGAACTGGGCTGTTTGGGGAACAAAGTGTGGGTTCCAAAGAGTAGTTTGTATTTGCAAGCTCAGACACCTACCCTCTGCTTTGTAATTGCTTTTTCTTTAGCTTCACAAAGTTTTTCCTAGAAAACTTGTACTTTGCAACCATGTATGTCTTGGCAGCCATTTTGTGAGCTACTCTCTGAGATGTGCCCACCAGGCCCAAATGGTTGGGCATTAGGAGATGCCGGTACCTACACGGAGGTATTTGCCAACTCATTCTGGTAGCTCCTGCAGAATACCAAAAGGCCCAAGCTTATACGCTGTAGTTTTAGAAACAGGATTTGATGATACTGTGAGATTAAATCCAGAGGACAAAAGAGTATTCCTTTCCACTACCCAAAGTTCTGTTGTCTGCCTCCCTCTAACCTCACAACTGCAAACAAACAAACAAACAAACAAACAAACATTCTTTGTCAATTAAGATAGCTGAATTAGAAAAAGGTGCCCTGTGTACAGTATGGACAGACTATGTGCCATTCTCATTTCAGAATGCTGGTTGCACTCACCTGCCCACATTTATTGCAGCTGATGGACCTGCCTGGCCTCCAGTCGTTGAACTCACGGGGAATGAACACTTGTTCAAGTGCTCTGTAGTACTGCCTGCAATAAGGACAAGCAACAAAACCTGATTCACACTCCCTTGAAGTCCAGCTAAGTATGCAAATCTGTTGCCACTCAACTCATTATTTCAGTGGTCTAGCTGGAGCCAGAGGCAGTATTTCACAAATCTTCCTTTCTCGTCTGCTGAATATACTACTTCGTGTGCTACAGATATTACATATATGCACTCACTTCCAGCTGGGCTCCCACGTCCAACAAATAATTACATATAAACTTGAGGTTCAGTGATAAAAGAAGGAAAATCTTCATGTAATATTTATTTAACTTGCGGGGTTTGCTACCAAGAGACCATGATAGCTTAAGTGTTTTTTGAAAGAATCAGGCAACTTTCGAGAAGACAGATAAGTCATTGGGTATCACCACAATAACGGACTTGACCCTCCCCAAATAGTGGCAGTACATGCTGCAAACTAGAAGCTGAGGACAAATGAAAGGTCTTGGTTCGTTCCCATTTATCAGCTTTCTAGAGGTATTTGGCAGCTTGCACTTCGAAAGAAAATGCAAGATTATCTGGTGTCTTGGTGGGCTCAAGCAGGACAATGTATGTATCTACATCTTCTGTATTTACTACACAGGATTCAAGAATGAGGCCCACATCATATGAGACACTTCTCAGGCAGTGAGAAAGAGGAACTGAAATCAAGTTCCTTTCCTTCCATTTTGTCCTGTAAAAATTTATCCACAAGGATCCAAGGTTACTTAGAGATGTTTTAGCTTTCACCTCCCAGGAGTTGAACTCTGAAGCACCTGGAAATCTACTTTCTGCCCAGCCCTGCCCATAAACCTTCTTCCTAGTAAATCTATTAAAACTGTCACACATGCATATATGCAGAATTCCAGGCCATTGGAAGAAAGAGTATTAAGAAATGACTTGCCTGTTTGACCTTTCCTCCCACAGCTCTTCTCTGGGCTCAGCAGCCAGAGTGTGCTGGTTGCTCAACCCCATTACGGGGGTGGTGGGGGCACTTGTTGCCTGCCTGATGTTTTGGCCTACAACTCCCATAAATCCCTATTCAGGGTGGCCAATGGTGAGGGATTGCGGAAAAGGAAGGATGCAACATCTGGCAAGCCACCAGTGGCCACCTGTGATAGGACCAAGAGCACAGCGGAAACTGATGTAGGAAGAGCTCTGCTCATTGATCATTCTCATGACCAGGACACACAGAGTAGAGATTGAAAAAGCTCGCTGTGTCTGGTCGTTCCATCTTTCCTCACCTGAACTTGGGGTTAATGCTGATGTGATGCATTTTCTCTATTTTGCGCAGGTCAGTGCCACGGCAGACTTCTCCGTTGCACCCGATGCAGTAGAGGTGCACATCTCCTGGGTCGTGCAGCTGGTGCTGCAGGTTTTTTTTGGCATCCCGCACCCTGCGACTGTGGGCGGCTTTATGCTGAAGCTCTGCAATCTGTAGGAATGGAGCAGAAATTGGCTTAATGGAGTTTAAGAGCAGGAGGGTCTGAAGTATGCATGCTACATGTAGGCAGAAAGTCTGGCTCATGCTTCCTTTAGCTTTAGACCGCTGTTTGTCTCTGCTAGAGCGGAAGGCATTATTCCCCAAATACCCTTACCACTTGCATAGCAAGCCATTCATTCAGTTTTACTCCATATTGTTTTAGTTTCATGTAGTTTCAGTGTCTGCAGCAGCTAACACGGACCAGTGAATACTGGCAATTATTCTTGGATGATCTGGAGAAAGTCACTCTCCTTACACAGATCTATAGTGCAGTCCTACCTGGAGTGCACTGTACATTTGTGGTCACACCTCAAAAAGGACTCTGCAATAATAGGGAAGGTGCAGAAAAGGGCACCTTTAAGGAAAGGTTTAGATGCTTGGAGCACATTATTTAGCTTGGTTCTTCTTATTAGTCTCCACATTCTTATTATTCGTTACATTTCTATAACCCCAGAGCCAAAGTTACCTGGGCAGTTCACAACATAAAGTCACTCATCCAGAAGTCACATGCCAACTGTGCTTCAGTGTGTACACACTATCCACTTTCTGGAAGGCCATTTTACCTTCAGGCGATATTCCTGCTCAGGCATCTGCTGTATACACTTGATAGCAATCTCCATCAGGTCCTCTAAGATCTCATTGCGCATCTCATGGGCCACCTCCTTGCTGTTCATCTTGCCCAACACAGAGTAGATACTGTTTTGGGCACGGGCTCGGCCCCTGGCCTAAAGGGAAGAAGGGAGAAACAGTTGTGTCCACCCCTAGAAATTCCAGGCCAGCTCCTCCTCCACTGTTCCCAGGCATAGCCAGACAGTTCCCTCAACAGCTTCTCCACTACAGCACCACTGCCTTCAAAGACCCACAGTAGCAACAGGGGTTCCTCCCAAGACATACCCAGTGCTGTCTGATTCTCCCTGCATGACAGAGAGGGGAGAGAATGTCAGCAAGATTCCTCAGATTGGGCTCACTGACCTGCATCATGGCAATCTCGTTTGTCAGTAGCCCATAGCGGACTACAATATTACACTCGGGAATGTCCAGTCCCTCCTCAGCCACACTGGTGGAGAAGAGCAAATTGAGTGTCCCTTTACGGAAATGATGGATGACCTGCTGCTGCTCTGGCTGGAAGAAACAAGAGTAGTTAGTGTTATAATGTGTATGTGGATCCCAAGGTAAGAACGTTTCTTCTATCAGCAACCAAAACAGGCAGGTTTTTCCACCACAAAATGGCTTAAAACCAGAGCTAGCAGTGCCTTATTTCTGGGGGCCTCTCCCTTATGATCCTGCCCCCCTTCTGAACAGGTTAATTCAGATTTTAAATCTCACAGGTGACAAAAACGAATTCTGTGAAACCCACTGGTACCACATCAACTTCAATGACATATGGAGTTCAGTGGGAAGGCATATGCTGTCCTCTGGAAGACATGAATCCGTGAGAAATCAAGTTGCTTGAATGAGTCGCGTTCCCTCCCATGAGCTGTGGCAGAACCGGGGTGCAGCCCAGGCCTTCCCCTATGTGCGCATTACCTGCGTCATGTGCTTCGTCTGACTGCTGTAGCCAGCCCCAGTCAGGACCGCAGCCTTGATCCCAAGTCCAAGTAAGGCCTGGTTGTCTTGGATCCACTGGTGCAATGAATGAGCACTCTGGCGTGTGCGGGTGAACACAATGCCCCGCGAGCTCTCCAGTTCTTGGAACTGCTCCTGCAGGACTTGCTGCAGCTTAGCGAGTTTGGGGTTCTCATAGCGGCTGTCTTGCGCCAGGGCCTGCAGGCATGCTTTGTTCCCTGCAGGGCAAGTGAGTGCAGAAAGAGCTCAGCTTCTGAGGGGCAAGGCAGGCGGGCAATCCCTCTTGAACGTACGAACAGCCCTACTGGATCGGAGGAAGGGTCCAGCATTCTGTTCCCAGCTGCCCATGGGAAAGTCACAAGCGGGACATGAATTTTCATATGAACTATATTTCTCTGTCTTATAGATGTAAAAGCAGCACAGCCAAGCAACAACTGAATAAAGTGGTGGAGAACCCACTGCGACCCAACTCTAAACCACAGTTCCTTGCATGGCAGTGGTGCCCTGCTGGTGCTTTTAGTCCTGCAGGTGTGGCCTTTCTCTTCCTTCTGAATTCCTGACCATCTGCTTTCTTTCGTCCTTTTTCTGTCTCTTTCAGTGCTAATCCAGGCCATAGCATAAAGCTGGTGAGTCCTCCTCAGCCATTGATCAAGAGACAGCCCATCTGGATATGGCGGATGTGTGGCCTTGATCGTGTGGTCCACCTGGCTGCTCCCTTGAGCCCCAGGCGGGCAGGATTTTACGAGCCTGGCTTGTCCTTGCAAGGCCATCACCACATCAACAGCCGGCTGTGCAAAAGGCCAGGAAAGGGCTGGACTGGCACCAAAATGCCAATCCAAACTTCTCTCCTCAGCAGCTTCTTTTGAGCTTCCCAACTGTAGTCAGACCACCTTTCCTCCTTCCTACCATTCTGTGTTCCCTTCATTTCCCCAGGATTCCACATCATTGTAGGAATAAGAATGACACAGGATATAGCAGGGAAATGGTCCTTTTCCCTGTATCTTCCAGTCCATTCCTATCTTCAGGATCCAGAAATCCACAACACTCCTAAAAACATGGAGAGAAGCTTATTTTCTGGGTACCGTCTCACTGTGCTGCATGACCCCCATGCACTCCCTAGGTTAACCCTCTGCCCTCAAGAGCAGTCGAGGATGACCATGCCTTTCCCACTGTCAGTGCTGGAGTGAGATTCTACCACCACTCTGGTCACCTTCTGCACATGGAGTGGGAGCAGGCACCCTCTTACCCTTCATCTGGGGCAGAAAAACGCCCTGCGCCAACCCTACGTGCATTTCTATCACCTGAGTGCTAGTGCATTAGCTTATGACTTGAATGGCTCCATCAGGCACTGACACAATCTCACAGATGGGACTCTTCTGTCATAGCAAGCCAAATGCTTTTTGCAGAAGTCAGTTTATGTGTTTGCCACCTGCTATACTGAAGATTCATGACTGGAAGCCCCAGCTTTGGATATTAGCTGACATGGAGCAGCAGAGTAGAAGGAGGTGTGTGCCAGTGGTTTTTTTTTTAATGCAGCAGTAGCAAAGGAAGGGTCCCTTAAATCCACCCCCCTGCACCAGCTGCTCTTTCTTGGGTAGAAAAAGAAAAGTATGGATACCTGTTGTTTCACCTACAGGGCAAAAGAAGTCTTGTAGGGGCTGTTGATCAGAGAAGTGGCATAGGAGGCACAGCGGATTGAACACCCCCCATCCCGTGTTTCAAAGGAATGAGCTGTCCCATACCCTGTCACTGCCTTTCCCGTGCCATTCTTGCTACCGACACTTACTGTCAAAGAGCTGGACCAGGTAACGATCTACCGAATGTTGCAGCACTCTGGTAGCACATTCTAGCAGGTAAAAGTCATCCAGGATTTTGAAGGCATCAATCATGCGCACAGTGTCATTGATCAGCAGGGCGTCGTTGTATTTACGGAGGTGCACAGCGCAGGTGCGGGTCTTTTGGCAAAATTTTTCTGCTCCTAACATGATGAGAAAAGCAGTCCCATTAGCTACCTCCTCATGCTTTCAGTTCTAACTAGAGTCCATCTCCCTCTATTAATTGTCACATGATTACACAAATGGAAGCAGAGCAGACTTACTAAGCTAAGGCTGCCAGATTCAAAGCCGAGTAACATTCACAGGTCTTTAAACCACTTGCCTGTCGTGGTTTGGTGTGAGATTCAGACCAGAGAGAAGGAAGTGCTTCAGCTTTACAGTACATTGTTAAAGTGTGTAATTTGCCAGCACGAGATGTAATGTTGGCCACCAAACAGGGCAAGTTTTTAATTTTTTTATTTTCTTAACATATACAAATATATAGAAGAAAATGTAGAATAGGAAAAAAACCCTAGTATAAACAGAACAGACTAAAGTAAACGAAATGGACAAAGTTGCCAAGGGAATTTTAAACAAATACAGCCTATGTATTACAACCCCCAAAACTGACTCTTTTCCTAAGAGTGGCTTTAAAGGAGGGTTGGACAAATTGGTGGAGGAGAAAGTTATCAATGGCTAGTTCCCATGGCTAGCTGTTGCCCCATTATCAGAGGCCCTGCATACCCCAGTTGCTGGGAATCACAAAGGAACAGTGCCAGTGCACCCCTTGTGATTTTTTCTACAAGCTCAAGGATGTTAATCTGTAGGACAAACACATCTGGGCTTCCCATGCTGGCAGCTGGTTGGTCAATGAGCGAAGAGGATGCTGAACTAGGCAGAAGCTTGCTCTGGTCCAGCATGGCTCTCCGTATGTTTTTATATTCATGTTTTCCAGTTTTGATTCCATCATTGGCTACTCGGAAATTATGTCTGGTGCAGAAAATGCAGCTTTATTTGTAAAAATCTGTTTCATTTATTTATTCGTTTCATTTCTGTATCACCCATAGTCGAAGCCGTTGGTCTGTAAGTTCACATGTAAAGGAAATCACAGTGTTTCCTGGTGAGTACTATGAGGAAGAGGAAGGAGTGACAGGCCAGCTCTCCAACCAGTCTCACGCACGGCACATTTTTATTGCCATGCTCTTCTCAGCAATTTGTGATCAAGGTTGGTAACACAGACCAAGAAGTGGCCCTTAAAGTATTCATCTACTTGTATTTATGTGCTGTGTAAATACAGCCTGCATTTAGCAGGGGGCTGGAACTGGATTATGTCTGTAGTTCTTTCCAGCCCTGATTCTATACTTTAATCATGATTCTGTTTTTATCCATATTAATATTGTTAGGCATAATTACACCAAACATCATTTTGGGGGGAAAGACAGGGTAAACAACATTTAATCCTAGGGAAGCTTCTTTGCTTCCCCTGCTCCCCGCATTGTGATAATCTGATAGGATGCCTGCTTGTGGTTCTGGGTGAGCATCTCAGTGTCACTGGTCCGTCGTTTATGTTCACTGATTCAGATGAAGTCTAACATCCCCCAAAAGTCATGTTTCTTAGCTTTGGCTCTAAGCTAAGAACCAAATATGCAAAGCAACACATTTCTTTTTCAAGAGATGTTTTCAATTGTGAAAGGTATTCTTCAGTTGCCAGTTATGGAAGTGTGACAGTCTTTGGTAAATACACCATAAACTTTGTTACAGTCTATTTTTATTTTTTAAAAAAAACACTCTCAGGAAATCTTGTGCTCATCAAAAGACACTGGAATTCCTTCTCTCATCCCATAATGCAGAATTATAGTTCTGTTTCATTAAATTAATTAATCCAACAAGACTTTATTATTTGTTACTGATAATTCTAAAAGCAACCATCATCTTAGAGCATCATCTGAATTCTGCAATCATTGTCTTTCAGGTTGTATTTTGGGGCAATAGAAGTTATGAAGTTCAAACTTCTGGTCTTCCTCTATGCAACATGGTCTATTCCCACATCCTTACTAATGTGCCTGCAGTTCACCCTTTTAGAGAACAGGAAATTCACTTTGGAATCCTTTAACTTGCTTATGGTTCAAAAAGATCATCTTAAGCAGAAAATGTTTCTGTCTACAGCTTTGCTTCCAAAAGTAATTCAGTTCCCAATAATGCCAATAAAAAGTTCTTAAATATAGAGCCGGGAGAGACTTTTCCAGTCAGAAAGCTCCTAAACTCATCGCTGAGAACATTTTCCTCCCCATTCAAGTCCACAAGTCCTTCCATGGCACACTCACCTTTCTTCTCAAGTGACACAACTTGTTGTTCAAAGAGCTGAGTTCCAAAATTAGTACTCAAGTCAGGGACACCCAGGTAATTGTAGATCTGAGTCATTATCTCCTTGAGCTTTTGTCCAAAGGGATCCTGTGGGTGGCAGACTGAAGAATCACTTATATTTGGAGGGGGGTAGGATACTGCATAAGCACATGGGAAGATGTTCAGAGGTCCAGCATCAGCCCCTTCTCATGAAGGTCCGGCTCTGCCCTGTACACAAACTCTGAGATTTCTTACCTGAGGCCTTTGTTCAGACAGATCGTACTGCTTCTTGGGTTGTGAGACATGAGTAGCAAGGTAGATCTTGCGCTTGTCAGACGACATGATTTTTTCAGTATCTAGGTTAGCACAGATCTGGAAAGGGATCACATGGGCATTTCAAACACAGATCAAAACTGCTATTAAGTCTAGCAGCTAGACCACCAACAGGTGCTCCCTTCCAGAGCAGGGTGACAGAAACGGGAGGAAACACAAGCACATCTGCATTACAAGACTTGCTTTGAATGTGCTAGAACTCTCTGATTTCCAGGTTTAGAGATGTTTTGGAGAAGCATCCTGTCATGCAATTCCCTTTCCTGCAGCTGAAAGAGTGCAGCCTAGGAACAATATTACCATCCCCTCTGGACCATGGGAAGTTGCTCTGTATCCAGGAATGTTGTGAAGTGCAAGTACTCATCCTGACCGTGCGCAGAGTGGCACCTCAAAGGAGAGTCCCATGCTGCAAGCACCAGCATTGATCCCTGTCAACAAATCAGTTCTAGTAATGTTCACCTTGGCTCAGTCATCAGTTCAACGGGAGGCTGCAGCCAAGACGTTGAAAGACGAAGCCTGGGAAGGGGAGCAATCAAGGAACTAGAAAAGATCACCCAGTGCAAGGATATGCCACTGGAGACCAAGGGGAATCCACACTATTGCATTCCCCTTCACTACCTCCCACACAAGCTGTGCCATTGGCCGCTGGGAATGGCAGCTTGCACGCCCACTCGCAACTCCCCCCTTTTGCATCCTGCAGCGGCACCTGATGGGGAAGGTTGCCTGTTGCGTGACTGAGGGACCACAAGTGTTCTCAGCTTGGCTCACTTGGCAGGCCTAGCATGACAGGAAGTCCACAGATTCTGCAAGGGTGAACTCCAAAAGGGTTTATCCTAACCCTCCTTCCATTCACAGGATCACAAGCCAGAAATGACTTAACAGCATATGACAACAACAAGAGCAGATGTTTGACAAATTGTTCATGCAAGACCAAGCCGTCCCAGAAGACTGTGCGATGCAACAAGGAACAAGAAGAAATTGCTGGGACGATCCGCTTCCCCCAGCTGCTGTGAGGGCCGCTACGATGCCTGCAGGGGATATGGAATTCTGAGCGAAGTGGCAGGTGCATTCAGTGCCAAGAAAAGGGCAGGCACTGTGCTCTGAGCCCCGATTCCAACACTGCAACCATCTGTCAGTCGAACCATTACTGGCTACTCTGACTGGCAGCGGTTCCCCAGAATCCCAGGCAGAGGTCTTTCCCATTGCCTGCTCTGTGAGATACTTTCTGCTGGGAACTGGCAAACTCCTGCATTCAAAGCTTGTGTTCTGCTTCTGAGCTATGTCCCCTCTGCTGAGCTGGAGTCTCTCTGAAATAGGCCTGCATTTGCCACCTGCAGCAATGCCTCATGCAGTGGGGTCAAATGCCTTTGGCAAACTCACCTGCAGGATGTGCTCCTTGGCTGCCTCCAGAGTGTTGGCTCCTCCAGTTCCCAGAGAGGCTGTGAGCCCCAGGATCTGTGGCAAGTTCCGCTGGCCTTGCAACTTGCGCTCCAGGTAATCCTCCATAATCTTGTTGTAGGTGGTTTCTTTGTGGGTGTGATGGCACTCATCAATCACCAGCAAGGAGAAATCTGGCAGAAAGCAGTGAATTGTCTTTTTGTTATAGTTATTATTGTTTAATAGATTCTGATTATACCTTTCATGGAAAACCCTCACTGGCCAGTTTATAAATGAACATATATGGCAGAATATACAAGTAAAACAATTAAAACTGTTACCAACAGCAGTAGCTACATTCCTAAACTACAGAGAACAATAGAAGTCAAGATAAAGTGAATGAAATGGAAATGTGAAAGGACCATTCCCTGTGGGTGGAAGTTCCAAAGAATATGGGACCATTATGGAAGGTCTTGTGTAGTACTGGGGAATTTCCCACAGGCAGCTGGTTGGCTGCTATATGAACGGAATGGGGGACTTTTGCTCTAATCCAGCAGGGCTGTTCTTACATTGTTAGGGCGATTACCTTCATTTCCAGTTTATTTCCTTCCCAGGGGGATCTATCTGGCCACTGGGGGGTGGGGGGGGGACAGAATGCTGGACTAGATCTTTTGTCTAACTTTGCAGAAACCTATTTTGACACCTAGTTTCTGGGTGTGTGATCAGTGTATGGCTACTATCATCTATGGGAGGGCAAGACATGATGGCTGAGATCTCACATCACATCTCCTGAATCAACCAAGCACACACCTGGGCATCACAGCACCATCACCAATGCACCTACCCGGCAGATGCCCACCTGTCAGTTCCACATGCTTCTCCACTTCTTGGCTGTTGAGAGCGTTTTCCAGGATCTTGGCCGTGCAGATGATCAGGTCATTCGTCTTCACCACTTCTGAGAACAGCAGCTTCAGGATGCTGTCCCCACTGATGGCAGCAATTTCGAAGCGATTCTTCAAGATGCTGAAATCGTTCTTCAAATGCTGATCTACCAGAGGCACCTGGCAGGGCAAGGATGCAACAGTGAAACATTTCCTGAGAGGAAGAATTAAAGTAGCCTTCCCCAACTTGACACAAACCAGATGCATTGGTGCACAACCCCCAGGATCCCTCAGAGGGAGGGTACTATGCTGGGAATGGCTGAGCCAAAGCCTTATTGCTTGGGAAGGGCCTTTCAGCCACCTCACCACTGGGAACTGGTCCTTACCGTGTTGACTAACACTGCTACTTTGCCGTTCTTTCGGCTCTCCAAGTGCCTCTCACAGACGTAGGCAGCTGCACGGGTCTTTCCTGCACCTGTTGGCAGCCATATGATGATATTCTTGCCCTCTAAGGCAGGCTGAATGACTTCCCGCTGATAATCGCGCAGTGCCATGTGCCTGCAGTTTTGAGGGCCTGCTGATCTATGGGGAAAGATTGAAGAAGAGCAAGAACCAAGTCAGTTCAGCATGTCTCCTGGCCATGGCTATTTTTTTTTTTTTTTTCATATCTTGCTAACAAGGTATTTCTGGAGAGGAAACTTTGTGATTCTCAGGAGGAGTCCATGATGTAGAGTCCATGATGTACAGTCTTATTCTATATAATACTGAATATATAACATTGACCATATGAAATAGTATTCCATATAAGTTCTGGGATGAGATTGGTGGGAGAAGGGAAAAAATAGGGAAACGGAAGAGAGGAATTTCTGTGAAAGAACGGAAGAATATGGAGAAGCTAAGGCAAAGGATGATGAGAGAGTGCTAGGGCCACATCTGGAACTACTGAGCAACTGTCAACATTTAGTACACCCTCTCCCAATCTGGTATGCTCCAGATGTTTTAGAATTCCAGCATTCCCAACAACTGGCTATTCAGGTTTGAACTTATGGGAGTTGGTCCAAGACTGCAAAAAGACACCAAGTTGAAGAAAGCTTATCTAGCAGAATCTCTGGAATTTAGATAATGGAAGAACTGAAAAACAGACTGTGTAAAAGCAGTTTAGTATTCCTAGCAAAGCTAATTTCCAACACAATTTGAAAGCCAAAGTTTCTTCCTCCAAGCAAGTCAACCATGAAGCAGATACAAAAAGAGCACCTTCCTTTGGTTCACTGCTCTGAAAAAGACTGTCCTGCTCTCCACCGCTTTGCTTCATATACTAGAGCAAATCTGCACATATTGCTTCTGTATCACATACTGCCTTGTGAGATTGGAACAGCCCTCTTTCTCTTTTTTAATCTGCAGTAACCAGTTATGTCAGAAGCTCTTGCGGCTGCTAGGAGATGCAAGCGTGAGTGGTTCAGCAGAGAAGAGGCATTTTGTGACAAACCAAATCAGCCATTTTCTTACATGTTATTTATTTATTTTTTATTTATTAAACCATTTCTATGCCGCCCCTTGCCGCAGCCTCGGGGCGGCTCACAACATAATAAAATACACAATAAATTAAAACAATAACAATTAAAATATATACATTGGAATAAAATAAGCCGCCCTGGCCAAATAAAATTCAATGATATTAACATTTAAAATGCTGCTTAAATAAAAAGGTCTTCGCCTGGTGCCGAAAAACAAATAACGACGGCACCAGGCGGACCTCTCTGGGGAGCGCATTCCATAACTTAGGCGCCACCGCTGAGAAAGCCCTCTTCCGAGTAACCACGCTCCTAATTTCCTTCACTGAGGGCTCCCGGAGGAGGGCCTCTCCCACTGATCTCAGGGGGCAGCTGGGCATATATGGACGTAAGCGCTCCTTCAGGTAACCAGGACCCAAGCCGTTTAGGGCTTTATAGGTCATCACCAACACCTTGAA